TGGCCACTTGCTTTCATGCTGGAAAATATGTCTCGATAAGTATGTCCAGAGAAAGCCTAAGCGTTTCTGTTTTCCCCCACTGCCTGTATGATTTACCATTGCGGTGTTTGCATGGTTATTTACCACAAGGCAGCCCACGATCTTTTGTCAGACCAAGGAAATGTTTACACTTCCTTTTGTTCCCCTGCTGCTTTTCTTGTACCACTTGTTGTATTCCTGTCTTGAACTGAGACTGAGTCCCCCCAAAGTAGGGAGACTGGCACTTGTCACAGCCACTCACACTGCCACGGCATCTGACACATCCATAGATTCCTTTGGGGAAAGCTGGTGTGACATGCTTTGCTTCCTCAGCATTCTTCTTCACAATGGCCTTTTGCTTGGGCTCTGCTTTGGCTAGGCTTTTCTTAGTAGCTGGCCTCTTCATGGCAGTATCCAAATCATTGCCCTTCCTCTTGGTGAGCATGTGTTTGGCCTCAGCTTCATAGTCCTCAAGGCTTTTGCCTGGGTGCCATCATGTCCTCCAGCAGGTGCAGCACAGTCAGAAGGCGCAGGTAGAGGCAAAACAGCTGGAACTGCCGGCAAAGCTTTGGGAGTCAAAGAGGTGGAGTCCCTTGGGCCGGCCCCATCTGAGAGCAAGGAGTTGCTGGAAGCAGGCTCCTCCAAGCTATCATTGTTCAAGATTTTCTGGCTCAAGGCATCCAAAGCTCTGGCCTGTTTCTCCATTTGTAGGATCTTTCCCTGTCGAAGGCTCTGCTGGCAACTGCTGAGAGGTTGCCTGTGGAGTGGCCACAGCCCTGAGTTCCTTGGCAGTTCCGCTCACCGTGACTTTCTTGGCAATGCTTCCAAGGTTTATCATATGACTGGTAGCGAGCAAGCAGAAAGCCTGCAAGTGTTCATGTTCAAATGGAAATATGTATACGGGTCCATGTGTGTGTGTGTTCAGGGATTATGTCATGGCTAAATTTTGACTTCAAAATTATCAGCTTGAAAGCAGCCATCACCAAAGATTTTACAAACCCAGTGCCTCCCCAATGTCGTGGGGGCTAGGTGGGTACCTTGCCAAACCAGCATGCAGAGGTTGAGCCACCACAGCCTCGAACGTATCCAGCACAAAATTTGTACATTTCAAAAACTGGAGGCAAGACATTGGTGATTTCACCTGAAGGCTGACCAAAAAGGATGTCAAGTACTTCTTGGTGTCTTCTTTGAGGCTTTTCAACCCACACACTTTGATTCTTTTGATCAGCATGTGGGTAGCATCAACTGTGTTGATGCCATTCTGCATCTGCTGCCATTCGCTTTGGGACAAGTAGTTCCAAGGCGTGGTCATGCTTTGAGGTGTAGCCTGCAACCTGGTGGCCCCTTGGATTGAAGAGGCTGCCCTTGATTCGAGAAATGCTTGCAACTCTGCCTTCGTGTCAGCAGTCAAGATGCCATTTTGAACAGCATCAGGACGCTTCAAGAAGTTAGAAGCAGTGAGCATTGGACACCGCTCACTTTGGACTGCAAAGCTTCCTGCATTCGTGGCACCAGCTGTGAACCAGCGTTCCTTTGGTAAATCGCTTCCATATCACTAATCTCCTTGACTAAGTCCTCAACGTCCCAAGTAGCCATGGTGATCAAAGGATCTAGGCTAAGGTGAGCTCATAATTCCTATGGGCCCACTGCAGCAGAAGCAGAAGAGAATTGATTCTGCTAACCTTCAAAGTTAGAATTATGACAGCCCCTTTGGGCATGGGATAAAGGAGTTTAAGCCTTTACATGAAAGCCCCTTTGGGCAGAAACAATTTAGTTTACACAATAAAATGAAAGCCCTATCAGCAAAACCTTTAGCAAGAGTAGGTGGAAATGGGTTCTGGGACCCTTTAAGGTTAGAAGCATATAAATCTCAGTGGGCTCTCATACCCAACCCTGGACCTTCACATGAAAGCCCCTTGGGCATAAACCACAATAGTTTCAAAATAGCAGGAAAGGCCACCGGGCCAGAAAAAAACAAGTACACCACATGTTTTTTTAAAATATTTTTTCTCCTCCCACAGTATTTTGATTCCACCCAAGTATGTTTTCATCCAGGCTTGCCATGCACTATGGGCATACAGCTGCAGCTATCAGGCGCAGATAGCATCGCCAGAAGGAACAGGGACCCCAGCCAACATGTAACTGATTTTGATCAAGTTCTCCAGGCTGGCAGGCAAAAGATGTGGGCCTTCATTCTGCTTGAAGTGCTCAAGAGCATCCTGCCTGAGCAAGCGAGCAATTTGTTTACTTCTATCCTCATACTACCTGAGTTCCCGTATGCTTTAAAAACATGATGAATTTCAGCCTGGTAATCAAGAATCAAAACCAGATTGATGAATCTCCACATAACAGAGGCTCTTCCATCCATTGGATGAGGTCCAGGTTCGAAACTGTCGAGATACCATTGGATCAGTGGCTGAACCCCGTGCCTGACCCCTATTACTGGACATCCTGACAGCTTACAGCTTGACAAGAAAAATGCAAAGGACACATGTCTGATGCACTAATGGAACACCAAAACCTGAAGCATCAATTTGCTATACTTGTGACAGCTTCAAAAAATGAAAGCATCAATGTGCTTTTTGGCTTAAAAATGAAAGCCCTAAAGGCTGCTTATGTAAAAACTACATTATATTATGTTAGTTGTGCCAAATAGTAAACCAAATTAATATCAAAATCTGAAAAGTAAAATATACTATTGTAGGTTCAAGTTAAGGTTCTGAATTGAAATGCCAACTGTTTGTTTTCCAATTTAGATTTCTGAATTGAAATGGAGACTGTCTGAATTGAAATGGTGAGTGTTTGATTTTCAATTTAGATTTCTCAATTGAAATGGTGAATGTTTGATTTTCCATTAGATTTCTGAATTTAAATGGCGACTGTTTGATTTTCAATTTAAATTCTGAATTGAAATGGTGACTGGTAGATTTTCAATTTCGATTTCTGAATTGAAAATTGCGACTGCTTGATTTTCAATTTAGAAACAGAATTGAAATTCTTACTGTTTGATAGTTTGATATAAGGTTTTTTTTCACCACCCAGGCTTTGCTGGAGTCAGTAAGATCTTAAGCGAGTACAAGTGTTCAAGCCATACTCACCCTCCAAGTTCTTTTGCCGTCCACACTTTTTGACGTAGCCCACCAAAGCTGCCACATACGCCTTCACCCGTGAAACTTCTTCCCATCGTTACAGTAGGCATCTCATCCTGTGCACTTCTCCAAGCTTCCAAGCAACTACTAGCCCAGAAACTTTCCTGAACCAACCTCCACTAGAAGTTCCTCGAGGAGGCACGAACTCTGGTACTTGAGAATGAACAATACTAAATGCATAGATCAAGAAACTTGAATCCCACACAGAAAGCAAAACCATAGAAACATATGATGCTTGAGAAAATGTATGACTTTCCTATCAGATACATCTTGAGTAGACGAAGACCCAGTCGAAGCTTGAGAGCCTTTTTGTTTGGTGCAATAAAGAAGCTTCTTCACCTGGTCAGGAGTACAGGTCAACCTCCCCCATTGCTTCTGGAACTGGACCAGGTAGTTCTTTGGGGATGCATGCCATGCTGCTGAAGCCTCAGAGGGATACTTCAGGAGTGGCGGGTGCCAACAAACCAACATCAGGTTGAACTGGCAAAACCGTAGTTGCACTGGCTGGTGAAGACGCGCAGATACCTGGACTTGGGCCAGGTGCCATTGCCATAGAAGCCTCAAGTAGTGGTGCACCTGGGTGTTTGGCTTTGGAACCTTCCACTTCTCGCAGAAAACCAGATCCACTACTGGGCTCACCTGGTGGCTGTTGTGGCAGGTCAGGCATCAGGCCATCCATCTGCAGCCTGTATGCAAAGTTCACCAAGAGGTCCAAGGTCTGCTTTTGCAACTCTTCTTCATTCGAAGGATCCTGAGAGGGGACGACAGCGGGGCCAAAAACAATGAAGTGATGAGTATGACAAAATGAAGGGGGTTGGCCGCCATCACCCTCCCTCTTCATCACTACAGGTGGAAGTGGTGGAACATGTTTGCATTGCTTTGTTGCTTGTGTTACATGCCCATGAGGTTCCTTTAAGGTGTTTTTTCTATAAAACTATGCTTATTACTAAGCATGCAACCAGTTGAACAACTACAAACTCCTGACAGCCAAAACATTCCCATGCATGAGCGCACAAGAGTTCCAAACTTGCATGCGCATTCCCAAACTTTGTAGCTTGCAGGGATGGAAAACAACACAATTGACACTGGAGGACTCTTCTGCCCAGAGTTCAAATTGGCGTGCGTTCGCGCGTGCTGGTGACAGCATCTCTTGGAGCAGAAAACGGACGCTGCGCAGGTTGAGGGGGAAGGGAAAAATTGCGACTTTCTGTTGAACTTGTACACACATGTAGACATATTTACTTATGTGTATAGTATATATGCAAATAGAATTACGTTTGATTACGTTTGTGTGGGGAGGAACGAAATAGACCCCAAAGGTCCCTGCCACATATATATATATTGTATATATATATATTGTATATATATATATATTGTATATATATATACAATATATATATAATATATTGTATGTATATATATTTATACGGAACATGTTCACCAAACAAATTGTTTGAGGCCGTACCAGGCTGTGTTGTTGTTCGTCATCTCTTATCATTTTTTGCGAGGCTTCATCGTTTGTGGTCCAGTTCTGCCAGAAGTTGTACTCTAGGTAACTTTTGATATATGTATATATATATATGTTGCAAATGCTGTCTGTACAATAATAGTTTTGTATTTAGCATCCACCCACCCAATTTGTTGGTCACATCATCGGCCACATCAACTCTGTAAATAGCTTTAAGTCATGCTTTCTCTGAAACTATGGCCGTAGCCTACCCTAGTTTCCTTTGATGGTTAAGCATCATTTCCCTATGGCCATATGGCTGGCCATATGGCCATATGGCCATATGGCCAGGGGGTGCCCGTACCCATCGTAACTGGACAAGCGTCTGCTGCGCGGGGGCCATGGAGGCGGCAATGCCGAAGGCAACTGCAACGCGTGAGATGTGGAGCTTTGAATGGATTGGTTCAGTAGAAAAAGTCCAGTGGGATTTCACCCACCGAAAAAAATGGTGGTTTAATGGGATTTTAACCATATTTAAACCACCAAACATGCTGGTTGAACGGGATTCTGATGGATTGGTTTAGTGGGGAAACTGTTCAGTAACCCCCTAGATTTCATGGGAACAACCACAGTTTCCTGAAGATTTACTGTATCCTTAACCAATCCATTGAATCTTGGATGGAATAACAATTCAAAAGGTATGGCTGTGGACCTGATCATCAGGGATCTAACAAACCATCAAAAATAAGGATTTATAATTTATATAAAGGAATTTACTTGGGATTGGGATATGTTGGGATTGATAGCGATATGTAAGAAACTGAATATGAGATGGGTGTGTCTGAAAATTGGGTATCCACCTAACATTTTGATTGTAATAGGGAACCATATTAATTATTAACCAGTGGATGGAATGGGCAAACATCATTATTTTCAGAGAACCCCATAGCAATACCAAAAACCAGATGGGTGATTGACATGATCATGATCATGATTTGATGATCTTCTAGGATAGAAGAAGCAATCAGTAACACATGATCTAGGATGAAGGTTGCTGTACCATCATTTTTGATGGGTGGACATAGATGTACAATAGCCTTTATGATGACATCAAGCAGGATTCCAATTTCCTTTGCTCTTGGCATCTCGTGGCATCTCTTGGCGTCTCTTGGCGTCTCTTGGCATCTCTTGGCATCTCTTGGCATGGGCCAAACAAATCCAAAAGTCCTAGGGCTTCTATGAATGGGACCAGGAACATCAACAGAAGCTATTCGGATGTGACAACAAGGCATTGTATTCGAGCTTTGAATTTGTATCACAGTTGTGTGTGGGCTTTTGAGTGGTTATGTATCCCTGTTGTGGGTCCCTCCATCTTCAACTGATAGGTGCCCGTATATTCGCCTTGCGCGCGAAGCTGCACGCTACTCAGCTGGACACCAACACTGGGTCCCAGGGTTGTGATCAGCGAAGTTGGGTTGCTCTTAGAATGATCCTCTTGACGATTTACTATTCCGATCATCCATGTTCTATCCAACCTATATCCAACTTATACGGGCTTAAACAGGAACTTCACAGTCTATCCTGCTCAAATATGCTCAAATATTCTATCCGGTATTGTTCACGATTGGATGACAGGAACATTTGAAGAACGTTGCTCCAATTCATGGCAAATGGATGTAAAACAAATCGTAATTTCACGTGAAACAACATCCACATGGTTAAAAAACAACAGCAACCATTCCTGTAAAACATCAACATTCCTTCAATCAAATCATCAACTGGTTGGTGGTTTTAACCATCTTGAAAAATATGAAAGTCAATGGAAAGAATGACATCCCATATATTATGGAAAATAAAATTCTTTTTCCAAACCACCAACCAGTCAAAAATCATCAGAAACTCTGTCCGTGGATGTCCGTGGCACACCCGGTGAGTGATACACCCTCCACGCGCCTCCTGCGATTCTTTCACGGCATGACCCTCGGAATTGCGCAGGAGTCGAGGCATCACAGAGCGCATGTACCTGCGGAGCGCAGGATTTTCATGGGATTTCAGGGTGAAAAATCTTCAAGTCTCAACATGTTGGACCTTGAAGATATATGAAGATATTATATGAAGATTATGAAGTGATTTCAGGTGATATTCTATGAAGATTATGAAGTGAGTTCAGGTAGATCAGTTTGATTCACTGAAGATGTTCCCCAAACCTGCATCTGCTGCCCTGCCCAAGAGCTCGCACTGGCCAGTGGCTATGCGCACTCGCCGTCCTTGAACTGGATGTCAATCTTCCCCGTCCCTTGACGCTTAGCCCTGACAAGAGGAGAGGCAATGGTGATCCGATTATTTCACATTGAAGATCCAGGCATCGGTTCATGCAGGAGATGGCTAACAGTAGCGCATTCTGTTCAAGATTGTGAGGGATGTAGAGAAGAAGAAATGCATTGGCAAGTAGTAAAGAACTGAGCAGACGTATCTTCTTCTCTCCACCCAACTTGGATCGGTTGCGGCGAAGATTGCCCCCTGGAAAGGATGCCTTGAAGGCATCCCAAATTTCCTTCTGCCAGTTGCAACTTGCTGACGGTCGGCAACTCCCGTCTCAACTCTTGGGAAAGGTCTGCAAATGTTTAACATGGGTTTAAGAATTACCCTCTGGTTATTTAACATAGCCATGGAAAATCACCATTTTTAATAGGTAAACCATCTATAAATGGGGCATCTATACCATGGCTATGTTAAATAACCAGAGGGTAGCTTAAAACGTTCTCATCTTTCTCTTAGCAATGTTCAAATCTTTCGGTGTCCATTGGAAACCATCTGAGAGGGGTTCCCTTAAGGGATAGACGGCAGGAGCTGCCCGCTGCTCGTGAGATGTGGGGCCCGTTTCTTACCCATTTATCCCAATTTTCGATGGTTTTTGATGGTCCATTAACCATTCTTCCCGATTTTTGATGCTTAATTACCAAGTCTTTCCTTGTTTTGATGGTCAATTTCCCATTATTTCCAATTATTCATGACTGATCACCAATTCTTCCACATTTTGACGTTCCATTACCCATTCTTCGCAATTTTCGATGGCTAATCACCAGTTCTTCCCAATTTTTAATGGTAATTTTCCCCTCCTTCCCAATTTTTGGTCAATTACCCATTCTTGGAATTAGTGATGGTCAATAATTACTATTGTTTCATAAATCTTTGATGGTCAATTAATATCAATTACAAAGTACTGTGCCCATGATGTCCCAATTGTTTACCAATGGTTGAAAGATAACCCCCCCATGTACCCTCTGGTAATTTAACATAGCTATGGAAAATCACCATGTCTAATGGGAAAACTCACTATAAATGGAAATTTTCAATAGCTATGTTAGTTTACCAGAGGGTAATCCCACGGAACATGCCATGCTTTTAGTCCGACATGCTGAAACCCAACTCGCCTCACAGTGACGCTCTCCCAACCCAGGTTGGTCTGCACCCGGATGATGTCACCTACCTGGAAGCCATGGTGGATGTAGAGGATTGGAATGGATATGCAACCAATGAAGGTAGCATGCTACTGTTCAATTTAGATCGGACATATACTGTGATATCCTTTCTGATCTTGAATATCATATATAACGGAATATCATGATTTATACTGATCATAATTCTTATACACTATAATATATCATAATATGATTTTTCGGAACTTAGTTTGATTTCGAATGACAGAGTCTCCAGGTCCAGCAGGTCACACGCCTGAACGTCCATGTAGCGGTTGCTCCTGCACCGTCCCAAACAGGGAGTTTGCAAAACAAGGGCGACCTATTTGGGACGAAACATGGCTCAGATCATCTATTCAGTTGTAAAACTATGGTTAAAAGTTAAAAACTATGGATCAGTTGGACCTATTCAGATAATTTCAGATCATCGATATATGATTCCAACTGATCCAACATCTATTTTTACAGGTTTCTGAAAAAAATCTCTCTATCTTATCTGCTGGACCACCCAAGCAATGAGCCAAGTCAAGGGCACCTTCCTCATCTCAAAACGTATGAAAGATGACAGTCGATTCCCACGTGATCATTTTATGGCCGGTATAAACCATCCACCATCCCCAGGGCTTGCCCACATTACACAGTACACACCTGAAGAATCAAATCTCTTTGTCTCAGAATAGGGTACCCCCAGGGCCGTTCCATCCACTAGTGAATGATCCTTTTCCCTATGAAATAGCCAATTTGGCGACTTACAGCCCCATGTTCGGATCAACCCACATCTCAGTTGGTTATATACCCATTCAATCCCGGAACAAAATCCCCATTAAGCACCATGAAATCCCTCTTGATGTTTAGATCCCTGATGATATTTCATGACATCCCAATCAATCCCCAAATAAATCCCATTACCCTCTGGTAATTTAACATAGCTATTGAAAATGGTGATAGAAATAGTGGATTTTCCCATTAAAAATGGTGGATCTTTCCATAGCTATGTTAAATTACCAGAGGGTAAATTATAAATCCCATAAAATCCCATCATTCCGACCCGACTTGGCCGAATCGGAAATCCATTCCACGGCCCATCGCCCAGCTCTCCTCCTCTCTCCGGCTGGCATTTCTTCCGTGGCACCTGGCGGCATGGTTTGTTGCTGAAGTAGATGGAGATAACCCATCAAACGAAAACATGTATTTTTTCGTAGAATTTTGTTTTATGGATCATAATTATTAATGATAATAGTATATCGGTATATAGTAAAAACATGTAAAAACAAACATACGGATAATAATAATAATAATAAGAAGAAGAAGAACCAAAGAACGTAAGCCATGGACCATCCACCCCAAGGTTCTTCCAGTTTGCTATGGTTCTTTTTCCCGCCAGCAACAAACCTAGCAACAGGAAATCTATTTCTTCTGATAGGTAAACCATCAAATACAGTAGGTGTTCATACCCTCTGGTTACATGACCAGGTTGGCCACGAAACCCCCGTTTTGAATGGACATGGACTCTCTCATTGCCATGTTTCCTGGATGCGACTGGATGATCAGACATAGGAGCTGGGAACTGGATAAGTTAGGGATGAACATGCATCTGTAAATGGCCCTTTTTTCAAGTGCGAGCTTAGATTCTAATCTGGTTACATAAGAATAATTGTAATAATACTGAGAATGATTACATTTTTTTTGTAATAACTGGTCATGATACTGGTTGACTATTATAGCTAATAGTAATATCATAATATCTGCAAATGATTTTGATAACAATAGTGATAATTCACTCACCTCAATACTGCGGTGATTTTTGGCCGCAGGGAACCCCCTCCTAGCCATCGTTAAAGGGCGACGTCGCTTGGTGATTATCTGGGGTCTGGGCCCATCAACCTGAAACTGATGAGATTCAAATCTTTACTGGTTGGTGGTGCAATAACCATCTTCAAAAATATGAAAGTCAATGGAAAATAAAAGATGTTTGAAACCACCAACCAGTTTACTTTCTGTTCATTTCACGTCTTCCGCTGTATTCCCCCAAGGTTTCTCAGATGATCCTAGTTCCTTGGCTCCAGTTGTTCAGCGACCACCGAAATGGCAAGCCGACTCTGCCTCCAATGCTATCCTCCTTCTCCTCTTCCTGGCAAGGCCGGAGTTCAATCTGCTCAACTTGTCAGCTGGGATCATCATCCCATTCCGAATGGCTTGAAGATCCAATTCTTCGAAACCACAAACTAGAGAACTAGAATATATGACTAGAATACCATATATCATCACCATAGAACTAGAATATATGACTATATATGGTGACCCCGCCGACGTAGCGAAGTAAAGACCAAGCATCCATCAGGATCTCCAGTACTGAAGAGTACTGGTCCCTGAAGTCTGCGAAATGATCCTTGTACCCTCCGGTCATTTCACAGTTTGCTATGGAAAACGTGGCCCAATCGTATATATATAATATACGTATATATATATACACAATATATTATATAATATATATGTATATAATTGGATATATATAAGATACATGATTTACCGAAAAAGAACTCTTGATGTATCCAATGAACAAATTGGGATAGAGCAAGGAATATTTCACCCAGCCGCACATGGATGGATTCTATGATATACCTGGAGTATCCTGGAGTAAATTCTCGGCCATCTCCTCCATCTATGGCAGCAAACATACCTATAGTTTTATGAACCACGCCAGTCAATTTTCCCAAAAACCATGAATATTTTTACATGTGATTCAAGTGATCCTTGTTTACATGATGTCCTCATTTCTGCGACAAACAAAGTTGAATCACCTGTTGGCAGGCACTGGTAATCCATCTGGTAATCCATCTTCCCACAAGGGGTGGCCCCCTTATAAGTTTTACAAAGCCCATTAGTGACAGATATATGATATATATGTACAATAAAGCTCTTTATAATAAAGCCAACAAAGTTCTGCTAGAACTAAGAACCAACAAAGCCAACCCCCCATTTTTGGGGCATCAAAATCCAGCAGCAAAAAAGAATCAATCAAATAAATCCCTGTGTTTGATGCTTGAAGCACCACTTTTTATGGTGAAATACCTGGAAATTCACCTCGCCGGCAGAAAAAAAAACCGGACCTTGCCGCGCCGCGGACGGGTCTTCCGCGGCCGCGCGCTGCAGCCTTGTGCTAGCCTCTCTACCACCTGCCCAGTGGATGCGGACATGGAATGATATGAATGGATTGGTTTCAGGCAAAATCTACAGGACACGATTTTTTTTCCTCCAAATATGGACTTGGTTTGAATCTACTTTGGGGTGCAGTATCGTGCAGTTGGGGGTATTCACCGGTCGGGTATAACTATGGGTTTTAAAGGCTCCATACAGTTGGGATATAAGCCCCATAAGTATGGTGCAAAATTCATCTACTTGGTTCACTGGAGCTGCCGCCCCACGTCTGTTTCTATCATGTACCATGATTGGAGCACCAGAGTTTTGGGGAGCCAAACTGGAGATGTTTTCCTTAAGCCAAGCTCCACTTTTCCCACAACCTTGCCTCTCGAATCTCCTCAGCTGTTCGCTTAGCCTCGACTTTGGTCTCCGCATCTCCTGGTGCTCATCCGGTGCTAAACGTAAGGAATGGGGGAATGATCCATAATGACTCTTAAAAACACAATGCCATTTACCCATTCCCTACAGTACCTCCAGTCAAGGGTGATCATCCTGCTTCGAAACCACCAACTGAGAGTGGCATTGAAGATCACTGCATGATTTTGTTAGATGATTTGGGGACCTCTGAATACACCGGACTCGCCGGAACTGAAGATCTGTGTCCTCTCTTGGCGTAGAAAATGTTGGATCATCATGGATCATCCTGTATATGGCAACTGAGTACTTCACTTTATTGAGATATGTACAACTTACTTTCATCATTTCACACACTGCTGATTGGGGGTAAACCAAAGAAAAATCAGTGAAGGATGGCCTCCAAACCATCCCTAGCGCATTCCGTCGATGTATTTTCTTCCCGTGAGTCCGTGTATCAAAACATGTTGAAACACTAGTTACCCTCTGGTAAAGATACAAAAAATATGGAAAATCACAATTTTTAATGGGTAAATCAACGAACTAAATGGCCATTTTCAATAGCTATGTTAAATACCAGAGGGTACACAACATAATAAAACATATGTAGCTACTCCATTTGCAAGATTTTGACCAGTCATTTGGGGAGGTAACACCTCCACATTCATTACCCTTTGGCAATCAAAAAAATGGCGGCCTGCCCAACACCATACGTATGATTACGGGAGGGTACCAGCCAAAATAGATCATTTGTTACATATTGATATCTACCCATGATATACCCGTTACTAACGTACATCTTCATTTCATTCCCATTTTAGACGGTAAAGTTCCGAAGAAACATTCCATCCAGACCCAAATCATCTCAAGTTGTTCATGATTTCAATTAAATTATATACCCTCTGGTTATTCAACATAGCCATGGAAAATCACAATTTTTAATAGGTAAACCATCTATAAATGGACCATTTTCAATAGCTATGTTAAATTACCAGAGGGTATATATATATATAATATATGTATATAATATATATAAAATATATATATATATATTATATCCCAAATCAATCCCATGAAGACTCATTATTGTTGATGGCTAAATCCCACAATCAAATCCGTAAAAATGGTAAAAATCCCATAAAGAAATCCCATCAAAAATACCATAGAATCACCAAAAAAATCAGACTAATCCTTCTAAAATCCCCATGAAAATCCCCATGAAAATCCCCATAAAATCACATACCCTCTGGTAAACTAACATAGCTATTGAAAATGACTATTTATAGTGGAATTTCCCATTGAACATGGTGATTTTCTATAGCTATGTTAAATTACCAGAGGGTATAACATCCCTATTGGTTGATGGTTAAATCCCCTTGAAAACCACCCCATTTTTGCAATCTCGCCTGGCTTCGCCGAGGTGGCCCGGAAGGAGCCGACCTTGGAATCCACCTGGAGAAAAAAAACGTGGCGAGGAACGTGGCGACAGTCATAATGATGATTATTACATGTTCATACCGCTATCCCATAGGATCCATGTATGGTATATTTACCTACATTTGGGTGATTTTTAGGGCAAATGTTGGTAAATATTCCATACATGGATCCTATGGGTATGGTTTTCATATGTTTTCATGGCTTGAAACGAAAATTAGCCTCCAGTGAATGGTTCATAATGGTTAATTATGGTTAATTCATGGTCAATTAATGGTTAACTAATGGTTGACAATGCTCAATGTCAATGGTTAATAATGATAATCACGATGAATAAATAATGGTTAATAATGGTTAATAATTGTTAATAGTTCACTCATGATCAATCACTGTTAATTGTGATCAATCATTGTTAATAATGGTTAATAGACGTTAATAGTGGTGAACAATCATTGATCATGATAAATAATTAATGATAACTATGCTTAATTAGGGTTTATGGTTAATTATGCTTAGTAATGGTTAAGGGTGGTGAATAATGATTTATACCTGTTGATAATGGTGAATCTTTGTGAGTAGCGGTTTTCTGATGGTTAATACTGGCTAACGATGGATAGTTTTCTCGTTTAATCATGGCCAATGTAGTGTTTCATGCATGATATTTTTTTATAGCCAATACCCTCTGGTAATTTTACACGACAACGAAACATCCTAACTTTCCATGGGAATGTGATGGGAGAATCATCAGGGTGATGTTGCAGTGCCAGGTGAAGTTGCAACCCTATCACTTTTTGAGGATTTCATCCACTTCTGCATCTGTTCCGGGGTTGCCGTCGGCCGTAAATTTGCATCTCATTGGGTTCAAGTGCAATGGCCCTATCGGAAGGGAACAAAGCGGATCTCAATGGAGTGCATTCAAGAAAGATGGAGCTGATTGGAATCATATTCGAATGGACTCTCTTATGCCGACAAGAGTGTAGGTCTAGGAGCAATCATGTCAGTTTTGACCCCATTAGTTTACCCAACCGCCAACATCCTGGGATGACCGGAAGCACAGCAGCTTCGAGACCATTTTGTTCTTTGCGCCCGAGACCCGAGGACCGGAGGACCCAAAGGCCAGACCGGGGTTCGGCATAGCTGATGATGTGATGGCCGATCTTGCCTGGTCATGTCCTAGTGGCTATGTTCATTCTTGAGATCAATGACCATCTGACTGCTGACTGCAATCCATATTTGACAACATATCTAAATAAATAAACATATATATATATATATGTATATATAATATACATTAATATACACATGTTCTTATACAATATATAGTATGTATATATTACATGTATATATTTTATAATTGTATAATTCCATACACTATATATCCATCATCAGCTCATGCCTTGGGCTTGGTGGCACTTTCGGGGCGCTTGCGAAAGGTGCAGGTACACAAGGCCGCCAGAAGGACCAGCAAGCTGCTGGCAATGGGATAGTTCGTGGTCGCCAAATGTCCTGATTGAACAAGATAAAAAAAGGATAGTACAACTGAAACTCCTGCAGATAATTTTCGTAGAATTACCAGTTCATCTAGATATATTTAGATAGTTCATGGTTGCCAAATGGAAAATCTAGATGAACTGAATCTTTTACTACATGACAATATATATAGCATGCGTCCGACAATTGGCCATACTCCAACAAAAAACTGGGGGATAAACCATGTTCAGACACACCCAAGTGGTTTAACCATCACCAATCCAATAATTTCACTGGCTTGACGTGTCAATGGGATAACCAAAATGGGAATCGAAAGAATATGGAAGGAACATCATGATCCAAAGGTTTTTGACTGAAAATAGGATACCCCAAATCCACTTGGTCATCAGCATTTTCTGAATCAAGATGTTTCAAACAACACCATGAAAAATGGTGGTGAAATCCACCGATTTTCAGACACAGCCATGTCCTGAAACCATCTTAAACCTGGATACCAATGGAGTGGCTCGAAACAAAGACAGTCCGCTTCATCCTAGTTTACTGTCAATGTGTCGAAGTATATAGTAGCATACTTTACTAGCCATAGTGACATTTTATGACATACCATATAACTATCCATGTCCATGACGCTGTAACAAACAACGCGGATAGTTACAGTATCTTATATCATGCGTATTCAACGCCTGAACACGGTGAACATATCCACATTCACCACTTGTTTATCGGACCAGTGCGGCAGTTTCAGGATCTTTCAGTCCTGTCATCCAGGTGCTGAGAGCAAAGAAAGCAGTGGTAGCCTTGGTGTCCAATGGTCAATGGGAATTCCAGGATCCTAAAATGGAGGTACTGTACCATATAAGGACATATTTTGGGGGTATATCCCCTTACATAGGCCTTATATAGGCCTTATATATGGTAGGTACCTCCATTTTAGGATCCTGAAATGGCCATTGAAATGGGGGACTCCTGTGGATACCATCCATAGCCGTCTGTGATTACCGTCTGGCAAAAAATGGGTCGGCTGGTGCCTGCAAGATTCCACTGACAGCAACACCAGCACGAGCATTTTCCGCTTGTCCTAAATTCAAAAAAAAAACTTCAAAAATGAATGTGGCTATGGCTCAAAATGATTCAAATTTCAAGGTCTAGGAGTCTAGTCTGGTACCAAACATCACCAATTTTGTGGTTCCGTTCAAAACCCCATCTTGGAGCCCAAATTCATGCAGCCCAGAATTGGGGACGAGCGGCTGCCAAAAGCAACACATAGGCCACAGGAGCAAAGGCAAAGGTTGGATCCAGGAAAAAGTAGACATAGATTCCTGGATGGAACATCGCATGACTGTGGGTATGGTTGATTCTGATTAATGTGTATATGATTTCCATAAGATGTTATACAGTAATCTTATTTAATATCTTCATATCCACCCAAAAACCCACAGGTTTGGCAGGGTTGGCATGCTTTATCTCAAACCATCCCCATTCGGCACGAAATCGTTAGGACATGTTAGGACTCAATCTCAGGAAAGATTCGTTTTCCCTGGTACAAGGAGAATGTTCAACTCGCAAGTTTCAAATCTTTCACATACATTACCAGCAGACCAGTCCAGTTTCTCACCCAACTCCCGATCCAGTTTTTGGCCCTGCCTAAGCGCATGTAGAGCGCCCAAGCGAAGGTGATGTAACAGAGACCAAACAGGATCATCAGCGGAAAAAGCTCTGCAATCATTGGCGGTCGGGAAATCACCAATTCCAAAGCACAGAAAAGAATATATCCTCAGGTTGCTTCCCAAAGAATAGATGGGTTTCAAAATGAAGGGTTGCCTGCCATCCTCACATGTAATTGGAAACCTCTCACGACATGGCAGAACCGTAAATCACAGCGGAGATCAGCGTCCGACTATCAGTGGCCCAAGCATCCATTGTGTAGAACTTGCGGCCTCCAACCCAACATCACGTCCTTGGCAGCCCAGGCCATACATTGGTTGGGTACATATTCCTCTCATGAAACATGGCCAACCCCTGGACCAACCATCAACATGCATCAACTAGCTTTCATTTATCAACGTATTGACCCCATGTTTCGTAGTTAAACAATGTTCATACATGTTTTATTTTTATACTCCAGTTCTTAACCAACTATAAACTAACTTTGTTTTATCAAAGTATTAGTCTCATGTTTAGTGTTTAAACGTTTAAACCATGTTAAAAACACAAAAACACAAAAAAACACACAATGTTCCTGATAGTTAGATTCCCCTAGTTCTTAGCCCATCAACAGAGATATTTAACCCCTAACAGTATAATTATGCAATGTTATGAAGTTCCTGAATCCTTATATACATCTAGCTTCCTAATTCCTATTTTCGTACACATATACCCAATTAAATTAGTCATGAACATCATGAGCCATTACGTCAACTAACCATCATTTATCAATTGTTTTAACCCATATTTACTGCTTAAATCCCACTAAAGAAAATTCACACACACACAGAGACATTAAAGTAGTTATTTCAAATGATTTACTCATTTTCATTCATCAAATTATAGCCCATAATAGATCCCATTTTTATGATCTTAACCCATCAACACAGGGAGTCACAGGTTTTTCAGCGCTGGTAACCACGCGACCACCTTGGCAGGTTCGTTGACATAGGCCGCAGGCAGCAGAACGAAGGTCACCACCATGGAGACCAACCAGGAGAGGGGCCCGCAGATCTGCCACAGCAGCAGGCTGCAGCGTTGCAGCACCTTAGGGATACTGGATTGGTTTAGGGTAAAATTTTAACCGGAAAACCCCATATATTTTCCATGGTAAAAACCATGGTTTCCGGTTAAAGTTTTCCCTTAAACCAATCCATTGATGACGTGCTGTTTTTTTTTCCGGAAACTATGGAGAAATGCCATGATGCCGTGGATGTTTCGTGTTTTTTCCAAAACACATGTTTTGATTCTTCGTTTTTTGTTGATAAAGGTCGTAAGATCTAATATCAATAGGGGGACGGTGGTGGATTTTAGGAAGATTTTACTTCAAAACTTGGGATATAGTCCGGATATAATGAGGTACTTGAATATCTAGCGATATGATATAATGGGTATTTATGTATATATATATATGTAGTATATTGTAGTATATTGTAGTATAAGTCTGGATAAATATAACATAATTTTCACATTTCACCAACCTGAAACTTGCTGCCACTTGGGGATGATTCCCCCTACAGTCTGTACTAACCACAATTTACATTGACGTTGAAGCAAACTCGTTATAACTTGTCCAAATGCCTGTAATTGACACGTATGTATATTTAGGGACCTATGGCAATGAAAGGTGGAGAATCACAATGGTATTCTGTACAGTATGAGGCACTCCTTTTGCACCGAACCACTCCTGAGGTCGTACCCAAATGGACTCATTTGCATAAATGCACTGTTGGTATAGTGGAGGCTTTGTGTCTAACTGTGTTGATAAATTCAACATGTCTGCACAATATTGGCTGCATCTTCCAGTCTTGTGCGGCAACATTTTCCCGACATCTGCAACTGGTGATAGAAAACTGATTCTGGTCATTCATTGCTTGCATCTTCCACCAGAAATGATCTTCCACGGATCGAAAACAACGATTAGATTATTCAATGCCCATGCTGACGGTGAACTCCTTTTAAAAGGTGGTTATCTTAGATTCCCATTTTCTCGGTCTATTTCCCCCTTAACACCCCAATTTTTGTTAGTCAGTTTTCTTTGAATATGTTTTGTTGCTTGAATCATTTATTTGTTTATTTTTGTTATCTCCAGTATATCCAGTGCAATCAGTTCGATCATCTCAATTCAAGGGAACTATGAAACATTGATAACACCAGCCGGCTAGGCTATACCCCCCTATCCACTGCCTTTCTCCATCTTTGATCCCCATCCAACCATTTACTGTATCAGGATCTTATCTTCTTTATTATATAATGTTTTTCTCCTATCAAACCTCTATAAAACATCAACCGTGAATATAGACATGCATAAATGTGTAGGGTCTTTGGTGCTTCAACGATTGATTTATCAGGATTATATAATCATATATATATAGCGTACATCCACTCCGGTAATCCAACGTGACCGTGGCAATGGAATTCTAAAGGATCTTCCCATGAAAACACCTCCCTTTAGTTCGGGGTAACTGTGAAACACCCATTTGGAGATTTCCTAAAATGGGGGCACCTCCAAATCATCTATTTTATTTTCGGATCCATTAAGAAACAATCCATGTTGGGGTACCCATAAAAAACAACCCCAATTTCAATCTTGAAAAACTTGAACAGTATAACTCATTAATATAACCCTTATATAACCCTTATAAAACCCATAGAAAACCCTTACAAAACCCCTAAAGTTGGGTTTTAAGTTTTCGCTGAGGTACCACTGGCACCTGCAGGCCTCCCAAGGAGATCAAGGCTGCGATCGTGCTGGAGATCCAATACCTCAACGATTAATGATGGTGCACCTATAGAGATGGAATATCTATGGTTAATGATGGTTAATGATGGTTAATGATGGTTAATGATGGTCTTTAAAAATTGGGAATATCATGGAATATCTATAGTTTAATGATACTTTACATTCAAACTAACCAACCAACATTTGATTTTAGTCAGGATATGCACATGTGGGGTGAACACAAAAAAAAGAACAATTAAACAAAATGCATGAAGTGCACACAAGAAAATATAGATATTGATTTAATGGATGTTCACCCCGAAGATGGTATCTTATGGGTTTTGATAGTTTCACAAATCAAAAATTTCGTCGACAAACACATGTAACCAAGAATTATTATGATTCTTGTTGTGCTACTATCGAGAAACACAATAACATGGTGATTTAGCACACAACACAATGTGGATTTCTGCAAAACGAAAATTGTTTGTTTCTCGCATATCGGGACTTGAGCAATAAATGGGTGCACAATTTATATGGAAACCATGGTCCATCTAGTTTGATGATTTACTGTTTTTGGGATGATTATTCCAGGCCAGTTTGTTAGTCATAACCTATCCTGGTCTACAAGAAAATTCATCACTTCGCCCATTTCAATAGTTCCAATGGTTCTCCAAAGAATGAGTTTCAGCAACAAACTGCCAGTGGCTGGATGGATCAACATCGATGGTTAAAGTCACAGCACCATCTGTAGGGATGCTGATTTTCCATCTCGCAAATTCAGGATGTCATTCCCAGAGGCTGCTACTCTAATCGGGACATGACGGGTCAAGTCTATGGTAGATTCACAAACTATTTGGAGATAAAAAAAAGCCAGCCCTATGGAGATATCATCGCGATATCATGGACTATGGGGATATCATCTAGATATATATATATAATTCTGGATATTTCTGGATAACTACTGTATAGTATAATGATTCATAATATCACATTTCACCAACCTGAAACTTGCGTCCACCAAGCGGCGCAGCCGGTGAATCAATGGGTGTCTTCTGATTTCACCATTTGTTGCAGCATTTTTCCAGATTGTCCCAGAAGAGACTATGGAAAATATCCAAGGGAAAACATATTCCATTAAAAATATCCAATAATACCATTAATAATATCCAATAATCCTGAAAAATACCGAAGACGGAAACCATTGATACAATGAACTACCCATCCCAGAAACATGCTTGAATCATTCGTGATGATGCCAGGCAGGATGAAGAATGACAATGCATACGTTTCGGCCACCAACAAACCATCCATTAGAGTAGCAGAACTGTGCTGGACATATGTGCGTGTTTGTCATAAAATGGGGCAACCATAATTCGCCATGAGATCTCTGGGTAGCCTATCGACAAAACCCATAGGTAAATCGAGGCCAAGATACAAAGCTAAAACGCAGTTACACCAAAGTGTGAACGTAATGAAGCGCCCCAGATGACGCACGTGGACCGTCCGTCCGCGGTGCGTAATCGCTAGGCCAGTGGTGTCGCCTGAGTGGCGAATAATGGGGCGCAAGCAGGTGAAGGAATGGATCATCCTCACATCCCAATGGAAAAAAAAACAGAATGAAAACAGCAATGCCGACAGTATAGTGATACATATCTTGAAATATCATTCCTTGGGGATGATGGGATATGACAGGGCAAACATCCAAGAATTAGACATCAATAAACCATGTAGACTCCCAGGATCTGTCGACTTTGTTACCCAACCATCAGGAGAAGGATCATCATGACAAGCCCTTATACCCCATCTCAGACCTGTTCAATTTCAACCACTTCAATCCTGGAGGTTTCCTCTCAGCAAAACTTCCGCAAATGCCATCCACCCAAAAAAAAATCTGAAGAAAACAAATCCACCTAGCCTCACCTAGCCTCACCTAGCCTCACCTAGCCTCACCTAGCCTCACCTAGCTCAATGATCCCCAATTTGGGCCCTAGTGGCTATAGGAACAATACAACGTCCAGCCCCACAGCATCGCCGCAGAGAGCCGCAGCAGCGCCGAAAACGGCGACGCCGAGGGCGCCAGGTCCATGAGCTCCACCTCCAGCTGCGCCAAGGCGCGCAGGGCGGCCGCGGCCACGCCCAGCACCAGCAGAACGCAGAGGGACACGGAGATCGAGGCCATGGCCATGGCCATGGCTGGAGAATGGTGGGGTTTTGGCGATGGAAATGTTCCAAACATGATGAAAAATATGGCTATTATCATAGGGAAAATGATCATGAACTACAGGATTTTTTTGGCTACAGTACCCTATTTTCAGACAAACCCAAATGGTTTTTACTTGGTGATAGAAAAAAAGCTAGGGTTTGATGGGGATTTACTGGTTTTTACTTGGACATTAATTTTTGGAGGTGGTGTGAGGTAGGTTTCTTGACGCCCAAATGAACTACAGTAGTAAAATATCCACTAATTACTAGTTACTAGTAGTATCACTGGGGTAAATAAAAGCTGATCGGTTTTTGTTTGAAGAGGTGTGCTGTGGTGGTTGGACGGGCTTTTCGTTGCAGCACAAATTTTCCTGGGGTGTACTTTAATTATCATGACCGGGTCTCAAGGGGCATCGGCATAGGGCTTGTAGGGATCTTGCAAGGGTGATTGGCGTCATGCTACCTTTGGGTGGAAAACACACATCTTGAGACGGTCTAATCAGTTGCTCATTGTCCTATAAAGATTAAAACCCGATGAATAGTGCCTGTGTTCCTATTTCTGCTTTGCTTGTGTCCCTACTTCTGCCGGCTGAATCGCGGAATTTGTGCTGGTTGATATTCAATGGCCGGATCTATCCCACGTCTTGCCACTTGCATCTCCAGAGTCACAAAAGGTGAAGGGCAGGGTGTGACCATGACGCTAATCATAAATCTTTGGCGTGTTCATCCAAGACAGTTTAATTAGTATATATCATCAACGTCCAGGTTTCTCTCAGTCTTTAATCTTGCCCTCTCTACCATGGAAACTGGAGGCTCAGCCACAGCAACAGTTGGAGGTTTTGTCCCACGCAGTAAGTATTAGTTGATGGCTTCAGTACCTTCCGTCAATTCCTGGCCTCTCCAAATCCACACCATAGCAGTGTGGAACCAATGTAAAACCATGTAAGACCAACAACCACCCCCAGCACACAAGTAGCACACTAAGGTATCGATTCATCACTGGATTTCCATTCCATACTTTTGACACCGTACCATCAATGATATCTATCCATAACATTCCACTAATAACTGTTAACGCCGCAAAACCACAAATTGGGGGTCTGATTTTTAATATTCCCCATACATTGGGTTGGATACGGGTGTAATAACTAATCAACCACAAACTAACCATCATTTATCAACTATGTTAACTATATCACATGTTGTGTTGTCAAACACCTTTATACCATGATGCTTAAAGCCTTTAAATCATGGATGGTAAATGTTTCACACGAAAAAACATCCCATACCAGGTCACATATTCTACCACGCATTTGCTGGTGGCTACGTCTTCATAAAAACAGGTGACATCATTATGTTCAACGATTTAATCCCCGTTCAATCTCCGCTAAAGCAGCGAAATTGTCTCCACTACGGCAGGTCCAAAGTCCCCAATAAAACAGTGAATCATCTTGAATCTCAAAAATAAATCAGCTTAGTTCCCCATCTATTTCTATCTATTTCTATCCACAAAACAATCCAAGAGATTTCAAAATCCAGATAGATTCCCCACAGTTTTTCTTAATTCCCCGTCTTCAATTGAGCCATACAAAATACCCCTATCCCATCTGATTATACTACTTGGTTGATAGGTTTCCCATGGTTTCCCTACTATGGGTTGTCATCATCCCCAGTAAACCAGGTAGTATAATCCCCTATAGCAATCAATTAACCAGGGTATTTTTAATGGCTCAATTCATACGCCCCGCATCGCACTGGGCTGGGCCCCAGTGCCATGCCCTTGGACTCTTCCGTTGGTCGGTCGCCCGGCTCGCAGAGCCTCACCTGGGCGACGCAATGGGTCGTTCGGTCTTAGATGGGGAAACTAATGGTAACCTTGGAAAACCATAGGATATGTGTGTATATATATATAGTATGTATATATATATATATAGTATAAATAAATAAATAAATATATATATATATATATATATGTAAAGTATATATAATATAACTATACAGTATATATAATATACACAGTACACACCATGATACTGTGGATGGAAGAAATTCTGCACCCGGTGGTAACTACATATTGGGATTCCTATGAAACACTGTAAATCATGGGATTATAAGGGGATGAACGATCTACCAATTGGTGCAGGATTTCTTCCATCCAGAGTAGCATGGGAAAAACCATGGGAATGTTGATGATAACATGAGGAACTTGTGAGGACTTTGGTGATAGATGTAATAAATCAAACATGGACGATTCGTGATGGAATTAGAACACTATGGAACACTGATGGTTATAATATGTTATAATTATCAACAAAATTGGTTAGTTCTCAGCACCCAAACTAAAAGTTTAACATCTACTGAGTATGTATAATGTATAGATTACCATTATTCCCCACGATGCTAAATATCTAAGGGAATGGATCAAACTTGCCAAAAGGATGTTGGTGATAAAAATCGGGACAACATATGTAATGACATGGAAACATATGGAACATTGGTGATAGTATACCTATTTTGATTGGCTCAGACTAATTGGACATGGTGATAATATCCAATATTATCCGATACTGGAAACTTATCATCCGATTGGCAATTCTATACCTATAATGATCAATTAGATAGTCATTTTTACCATTGCCTATATACTAGTCATAGTTACCAAGAATATGGTATGCAAAAATGGAATATGACAGGAGAACACGGGGCCATCAATCAGCTGTGGAAACTCTGACCTTTCTCGGTGAAGGGATCTAAACTGAGCAGGTGGAATTCCGTAAACCGTGAGTCCTCTGGGTTCTAACTGATACCAGGGGAACCCAGGTAGAGTCGGGGCGAGCTGATTGCCATATTAAAACGTCTGGCATGGACATCAAAGACACAATTCATTTAGCAAACATGCATATCATAACAATATATCTTCTGTATCTATATATCTATATAAATGATGTCAACCCGGGATTAATAAAGCAAGGGCCTAAGGGGGTGTTTAATTTGGGGTTGGTGGGTAGGGTACTATTTAGGGGGTATCTACATTAACGAGCCAGGTTGAATTACTCCGGGATTGACATTCCATGATACTACATATACATCTATATTGTGCAGGATTGATACAGGTGTCCAAATCCTCAATTCTTGGGATACTCCAACTTGTCCACAGCTGGATAGTACCTGGGGACACTAATGATTACAGCGGCCGATATGATTGAAACCATATTTCCAACCATCGTGGTATAATCAGAATCATTTCGACATAATCTACATCTACGGCTGGTACAGAAACAATAACAAAACATGTCGAATTTTGTGCATCTAGAATGATACTAAAAGATGTGTATCCAACAATTTGTTTTGGACAACAATACTCCATTTAGTTTTGTCCATTAAATTGTCAAATAAAATTGGATATCCTTAAAATCAATGTTTCCACCAAATGGAAAACAAATAAAATCCATTGAAATCCATTAAAACTCCATTAACAATCCATTAAACATCCATTAAAATCCATTAACGTCCATTAAACATCCATTAAAATCCATTAACATCCATTAAACATCCATTAAAATCCATTAACATCCATTAAACATCCATTAAAATCAATTAAAAATCCATTCAAATCCATTAAATTCGATTAAACCATGGATTTTCCCCAACCAAAAGACCTCGACCAACTTCGAGGATCGCCAACCCAGCGCTTGTTGCGTCCCGCACCGCCCGGCGGAAGGTGCCACCCATCATCATCTCCCAAATGTTGATGGCTGCATCATGGACCTGAAAAATAACTCAGAAACTGATTAAAAAACTCAGAAACTGACAAAAAATAACTGACAAAAAAATAACTGATAAACAAGTGATGACAAACTCAAAAACTGATGATAAAAACTCAGAAACTGAGAAACTCACGAAAAATAACTGAGAAACTGATAAAAACTGAGTCTTTTCCTGAAGAAACTAATGTCAGGTTTATGTCAGGTTTAATTTTTTTTCTTTCGCCGAAAGTCCCGGAGCAAACCACGTTAACGTGGTCGGTCGTGGTGTTTGGCTTGGACAATTCATTGGGTTTGCCTTCCCATAGGAAGGGGCCAAGAGCCCTCTCACTCCCAGGTCATAATGGATAAAATAGGAAACACATAATTGACCATTCATTGACACATGAACAGAATAGTGAACAGAATCAACCATAGTCATAGTTGTGTTGTAGATAGAGGGTCACTCGCTTTCAGCTCATAATCTGCATTGAAATATCAACCACTCGCAACACATCTCTCACCCTCCGAAAAAAATCTGTCGCTCACAAAACAAGACAGCATTGAAGTCTCACAAGAAGTCATGGACCCCTACCAGTTGCAATGGGTTCCTAACTCAAAGTCACTAAATCCAAGGGAGGTACAGTTTGGATAGATTACAATGATTCACCAACCTGAAAAGTGGGATCCAATTCCCATCATTGCAGTGATGTCGCAACGTGAAAGGTCGTCATGAGGCTAGGCCCATCAAGACCATCAAAGGCTGTAAAGGCCATCATTTGCTACCAGGCCTGCCAGTATTCTTTTTCCTTCTCAGGAGAAGGATACAAGCGCTTGTACCTGTGCGAATTCATGACAGATGTGGTTAAACATGGATGAACATGCTTCACAAAATGCACTGATAGGATGTTTATTGATTGGTTTCGCCTGGTCAACAGTATTCAACTGACTACTTCTCATAACGCAAATCTGTCAATCAAGGCCTTGTGCTTGGCAAGGAAACACCCAGTGCATCCTGTTATCGCTATCCCCATAGTATTTTCATGGTTTCTCCCCAGTTCTGGCTAAAAAATCCCCAGTTTTCCTGGTTTAGTTTCATAATATTTCATAATATGGCTGATTCCATCAGCAATTTTGCTGGCTCAACCGTTACCCTCTGGTAATGACTTACATAGCTATTGAAAATGGCCCATAGAAATAGTTGATTTACCTATTAAAGATGGTGATTTTCCATAAACTAACATCACAATGGAACATCTCCATTTTTTATGGGTAAATTAACTATAAATGGTCATTTTCAATAGCTTTTTGTATGATTACCAGAGGGTAAACCCACCGAATTTCCGGTGAAATCCCCCAGTTTTCCTCGGCGCACCCGCTGGACGTGCTCTTCAACTGGGCATCTTCCCAGTCCGTGCGGACCAACGCGAACTCACGCTCCTGATGGCAGTTACCACGGTGAACAAAGAATACAATTTATATGAATATGAAATAATATAATACAATTTCATAAAATATAATATAACACAATAAAATAATAAAATAACATAAATATATTATAATATAATAAAATATAATTAAAGATAAATAAGATATATATATATGATCATAATAATGTATATATATATATTATATAAATACATATCAAATATTTTTTACAACATTGGAAACATGTATATATATACAATATGTGGAAAATAACACATATATAATATGTTATATAAAAATAATATATGTAAATATAAATATAATATAATAACATATATATATATATATAAATAAACATTTCGATATATATATATATATAAATTTAATATAACATATTAAATAAAGTAGAATAATGTAATATAATCATATGTCAGAAATACAGAAATATAATGTATACAGACTAAACATTATATATATATCATATATGTATATTTTATATTTATCATATATTATATACATTGTATATATCATATTATATATTACATATTGTATATGTAATATATTGATAAGATATTATACATATATCTCTATATATATATATTGTTGATGTATGATATCTATATTACATGTTGCTGTGTAAAATCACATTTTTGACTACGGTAAATCATCGAACTGAAAGGGCCGTATGGGCATTGAGCATCTCCTTGCAAAGATTCAACCCCAACATCTTCAACATGTTACAAAATGGCCATTTAGTTCGTTGATTTACCAATTCAAAATGATGATTCCATAGTTATGTTAGTTTACCAGAGGGTATCAAACATGATTCGAAAAGGATCAAACACATGCACACGTTGAAGAAACTATTACCCTTGCAGAGTTGTTGCAGGTTCCTCATATGTCTGCCATAAGCATCACCTTTTGAGGAGGGTTTACCAACATTTTTATTTCAGATCCCAATTAAAAAAATATGGTGACAAACACAACATATTTCATGTTGCCAGGGCTATGACTTCTCTACAGTGTCCAAACGTTTATACAACCCCAAGATTGATATTCCATGCTATGTCACCAGAAAGGATAACTGTGGCTACGGTAGTCCAAAAACAAATGGTGTTTCTCAAAAAACAAATGTTTTTTCTCAAAAAACAAATGGTTTTTCTCAACATGACCTACCATCAATGGGTCCATTCCCTACGTTTGAACAAAACCGATGCGAAGATGGGTGTTGCCGTTAAAGACGGTCGCGATGGATAAAAAATGATTTCCCCAATGGCAAATCTCCCATGAATTCATGGTGGCCAAATCGCCCATGAATGGCTGACAACAAAATGCCTGAATTAGAAAGAATATGGATGGTTTAAACACCATATAAATGGATTATCGGACCATGATATATTATATGGATTAATCCATTTACATTATAACACCAGAAAAAAATATACACCCCATTTTACTACTCCACATAAATCCAATCATCGTATCGATCCATGTTTGAAATCACCATATTCCAATATACCCTCTGGTAATTTAACATAGCGAACTGGAAAGATCCACCATTTTTCATGGGAAAATCCACTATTAATGGCCATTTTCAATAGCTATTTTGACATAACCAGAGGGTAAATCCATCCACTCCAGGATGACTCATGTGGGATCCATTGCCACCATCTCCATGGGAGCTGTTGATGGCAGCGTTGCTCACATTGCGGTTTTGGATGACGACAAATTGGGAAAATATATCTCCAATAGATGTTGGGTCTATAGAAGATATAGATGTTAACTATATACAACTATAGTAATTTGGAAGATGTTAACTATAGTTACAATCTCCAAACTATAGATATGTAGTTAGATGTTGGTTTATAACTATAGTTTTCATGGATGTTAATGGAGCTTATAAACCAACTTAGATAGGGGGCCCACCTTTTCAATATATTGGGATGAATGGGACTTGATGGGGATATATTGATACGTATAATATACATATATATATAACCAGCCATATGATATATCATAATATACCCTTTGGTAATTTTATATAGCTATGGAACATGACCATTTTAATATATGTTGATAGGTAAATCAACTATAAATGACCATTTTCCAAAGCTCGTCGTCATTCCGCGTCCTGTGCGATGCGATCTTCGATGGGCGACTTCTGCTTTCCCATGCCCATGGACTCGGTGGCGGCTTCACGTGGCGCTCACAATTGATATGGTGTCAATGAAAACAAAACATATCAAAACCCCTGGGATAGATTGATGGGCATAATATATCTTAGTCTACTGTTAATGTGTAAGATATATTACGTATGTACGTACGTACTTATGTATGCATGCATGCATACATTATGATGTAATCAACATCATGAACATGATCAACAGGACACTTCTAGAAATGGAGGTTTGTTTCGCCTTCCCAAAAGTGGGAGGACGTTCGCGATGCGCCAAGTCTGAGAAAAAAAAGCATGTGAGGCTGCTGCTTGAGAAACATATTGTCAGAAAATGCCATCTACATGAATATATATATATATGTTAGATACCTATTATTATAACATATGATCTATAATATATGTGTATATATATATATATTATAAATGCATTATATATATAGAGAGAATAAAATACATGCACATTTATAGTTGTTGATATAGCTATTTGATTTTCTTAGGATGTTTGTTGCCCTCCTCAAGTGTTTCGAGTTAACAATCATCAAGTTCTTGGATGGCTGCGCAATGGCCTGATCCTATGCGGGATTCCATAGTCATGGGGGATCCCCAATAGCTGGATGATTTATTTCAGGGTACCCCCATGACTTAGGAAACCTCCATGACTGTAACATAGTCATGAAACGTAGTCATTGAACGTAGATGATTATCACATGATTTAGCGATCATTTCCATGGCCCATGTTCCAGGAAAACTGTTGGTCTACTGGAAGGAAAATGCCTGAGCTGCCCCGCTCGCTGCTCCATCCTTTCACGTGCCTGTCAGCTGGTATTCCTCTACAGAATTCAAACACGGCTGTGGAATAGGTCTGATGTATATCATTGTATATCTATATTTCTACTTGTTTGATTTGGCTATCAAAATTATGGACATTGGCATCATCATTTTGGATTTTAATTCTAGGATATTCTAGGTAGACATGGAAATGCAATACACCCTCTGGCAATCTAACACCCAAACAAACATATCCATATTATATATGTAAAAATGTATGTTCATTTATCATGAACAACAGTTTTTGACATTAGGTGCGTCTGAAAAAGGTGTAATTAGTATACACCTCCCCAAAATACGCCTTTAAAGGGGAACATCTCCCTTACATGGGAAACACATCTCCTTATGTTAACCGCTGGCTTTGGGTTGCCTCATTTCCACCCAAAGCTGCTCGCAGCAAAGCGCGCCGCAGCAAGCCGCCGCCTCGCGTTTCTTCTGACGTCGCACCTCTGGGTTCAGGTCCAAGAGGTTGAAACTGTCCTGTAAGACCTGCAGGCGATTGCAGGCGCCGATCGATTGGTGCCTAGTTGATATCTTGAATCGAGCCCAACATCTGGGTTCCTCTGGTTGGAGACATCTCATGAAGGTATGAATTCAGATGCCGAAAGAATTCAAACATTTTTGGACTACAAAATTGGCTAGTTGAAATATCATTTCCACAAATGGCAAGGATAAAGTTCTTGGGGTTCTGATCTTGTGACACATGGGTATGAGTCAAAGTCAAAAGCATTCAAAAGCGTGGTGCCCTTCTGTTCCACTATCCTTGGGTATTACTACTTAAACTGCAGGTGTTTCATTTCCACCCAAGGTCATATTCAATATAGCTTCGATGCCAACTCGCGCAGCCACATCCGATGCCAACTGGGTCGAAACCAGATGGGACGGTTGGCAATTACTGTTCACATCGCCTGGAAAAATCTCTGATTCAACAAAAAACATCAATAGTCACTAATAGTCACTAATTGTCACTAATAGTCACCAATAGTCGCCACCAGAGACTCGCTCCCCAGGGGCCTCATGTTTCACCTGATGATCAAGTTCAGACTCGGTGGCAAAGGAGGGCGCGTGATTCACCTGGAACATCTCCGACAAAATATCGAGGTTCACCAGGTTATGAAGCCATCAAAACTGGCTGAAGGTGTTATTACTTATATTTGCAACAGGTTATGACCCAGCCAGCTATTTAAAATAGGTGTTATTACTATTATTGGCTTAATGGCTTTATTAAGATAATGCAGGTATTCCCATTGCAAACATCAAACCTCGGCACCTGACCACTGCCACCAAAGGTATCTGAGGGGTGTGGTAACTGGGTTCTTTAGCTTCGCAGCTACCCTCCGCTAATTCAACATAGCTATGGCTCAAATCAGGGGATCCACCTGGGGATTCCTCCAGTTCCCTGCCTCCAGCAACCAAGGTTGCAACTTCTGATCCAACATCACGTCGAAACCCAGGATCTGCCAGGTGAAATTCATTCAAGCGAAGAGCCGAAAGTCGCCTTTTCACCATGTCTTTGGGAATATCATGTCTTCTTGGTTGGTTACTATCTACCCCACATTTGGGTGTAGAAATCCATCCAAAGCCGATCGTTTATCATCGATCATCATGTTCATTAAATTGGCCCATCTTTTTAGACACACCCAAATCACATTAAGTTGGTTAGTTCTGTATACCACTGTATACCCCATACATCCCCATACACATCCATAAACACCACTATAATATATATATATATGTGTACCCTGTAAACATCTATAAGATATCCCCATATGTATTGGTTAAATTCTGCATGCTACCCCTATCATGGTTGGTAAAGACATCCTTCACCAACATGGGGTGCAGGACGTCTGACCTCAAAGCACATGCCGTTGTCGACATCTTCGGGCCTCAGAAAAGGGGTGGCAACTAGAAACGTGGTAGTGTTTGTGGTGCTTCAAACAAGGCTGTACCAAGAAAAAGTGGATAACTAACTTAATATGCATAAATAGAGGGCTTTCATTCATAACTGGGTACATGATCAGACTATCACCTTGTCAATTTTCTACCCAAAGACGTATTGTGTTTAGCTTTGACAAGGCAAATTGGTGGATCTTTGGGGGGCCTGACAAACCAAGGCTATCTTGGAATCATGCAGGATCCACTCTGGCTGCCAGAGACAATCACTTGGGATTTGATTTTGTCCACCCATTGATTGTAATATATTGTAATATTGGGGCAAATGGTTTACCACATTCAGCAATTTCAAATCCCAAGACAGCTGTTCATTCCGGATTGCTTGTGCTCCAATCGTTCGATTTTCAACCTGCACTGCTACAGTGCCCAGTGCGCTCTGGGTGACCCCCACTGGCAACTGTGGTAAAAGTGGGACAAGCTTGGCTGCACTGCAATCAGTGTCTTGATGATCAAATCCTGCACTACATCGAAGGTCAGGCAGACTCCTACTACGTCTAGAAAAAGACTCAACACATTGATGTTGTTCTTAATTTGCGAGATTTAAACATGACAAAAACATGTAAAAACAACATGTCAGTATATATTTCAACCATCAAATTTCAATGGGATGTCATGTCCGAGATTCTTCAGGTACGAAAAATGCTGCACATCTACCCCATGGATTTTGCGGTTCGCAAAGGCCATTTTCATGGGCCTTTGGCCCCCCAAGCACCCCGAGATTCTCACAGCCTTGGAGCTGCCTCGCCTCGATCTCCAGTATCAGGGTGTCCACATCATGCCCCTCGCGTCGCAGATGCTCTTGGACTGCCTGAACCGTCGACTGGCTTTTTTTTTTGACATTTAGCCTCTGGCAAACTGACATAGCTATGGAAAATCATCATCTTTAAGATAGTAAATCAACTATAAATGGTATTTCTATGGGCCATGTTCAATAGCTGTGTAAGTCATTACCAGAGGTTAGGTGGAAATTGATGATGGAAATTACGGCATTTATGATCAAATAATCCGACAAAAGCTACTTTTGTAGATGACCCAAGAATCAGATTTTTCATGATTTTTCTACTCATGGCCATTCTTGATTATTCTGTAATTTGTTTGATTTACGACAGTAGAACATCCAACGGCCTGTAGTAGGATTTTAGAGCCTCCAGACCTATGGTATACCAGGAAGATCACGATAATATGCAACCGCCATAGACTCAGTATGACGGTCATCGCAAACGCATGATTCGTTGTATGATTCAGTGGTTTCTAGTGCAATGATCCCGTTAGCACAGAGAAATTGTAGCTGGGATCTTTCCCTTGTTTTTTGTCCCACTTCATCTGGTGCCCTGATGGGTTTCATGAGGTTTCCATTGTGCTACGTCCCTGAAAAACGCCTCCCAACTTCTCTTGTGACCGTCTTCGGCATCATCTGGATTGGTGTTCTCCTGTGCTGATGGAGTGCAGCTAGTGGAACAGAAGGAGACCAGGGACATTGTGCAAATTGAGAAATGGAGGACATCTTAAGATATCTAGAGACATATACATATCTTATATATATATATAATGATATATCTATACACACACACGTATATATATATATATAATGACGTAATATATATATATATGTATAATATCATGACATGTATCCCAAAAACAATCTTGCATGTCATCCACAAAAAAAAATACCTGAGTGGGCGAAGCCACAGAAATTCGTCAAATCGGGATGTTTCGTACCATGGCAGTATAACTTTGCGTCGAGAGACTTGAAGATGTGGCTATAGATGAAACTTGTGGTTCTACAAGTGGAACGGTCAATGGCAACCACCAAAACATACCAAAACTATCTACGCCGCTGGGTCTCATTTTTTGACTTATGTCGATCTACACATCCACAGAAACACATGCACATTGACCTGTGTGTGCGCCTCGAAATTCGGATTCGCTTTGTTGATGGCGTAGTTGGTCAAGTGCACCATCACTTCCGACCTTTCGGACAGGCTATGCGGTGGATGTTATCTCCTGGAGAAGGCCTCTTTTGAATGACACATATCTTATGGGTCAACAATCGAAACCCAAAGATGTTGGATGTTTTGGGACATTCTAACATATGTATATATATATATACAGATATACATATATATATATATACAGATATATATATATATATGTATATATATACATATACATATATATATATATATACTTGATATGTCTAATTTAGTATTTCTTGGTAGTCTAATATATCACATCTAAAATATACCCAATATAAATATACGTATAACAATGTTTGATCGAAGGAAATTTAGAAGTCAAACTTCCGACAATATGGACAGATGAAAAGCAGAGCAGGGAAGAGGCAGAGAGAAGAGAAAGATTAGAAGAGAGAAGATCAGAAGAGAAAGAGTCAGAAGAAAGAAGATGCAGATGCGCGAAAAGGTAGGAAAGTCGCGAAACACTGTGTTTTTCCAATGATTTGTGGCTCCGGAGAGTCGAAAAGTAGGCTCGCTAAAGCGGCGGGTGCGGAGCCAGCTGGCCAGATGAGAGATGAAAAATTGCACGCCGTTGTGGCGCGAAGCACATTGTCCAAGTCAAAATGTACAAAACACACCACGTGCGGACCACTTTTGGCACTTGAGATGTCGAAAAAGTGCACGCCGTTGTGGCGCGAAGCACATTTTCAAGTCAAAATGTACAAAACACACCAGCTCCGGACCACTTTTGGCAGTTGAGATGTCGAAAAAGTGCACGCCGTTGTGGCGCGAAGCACATTTCGAAGTCAAAATGTACAAAACACACCATTCTCGGACCACTTTTTGGAAGTTGAGATGTCGAAAAAGTGCACGCCGTTGTGGCGCGAAGCACATTTCGAAGTGAAAATGTAGAAAACACCTCAGTGTCGGACGACTTTTGGAAGTTGCGATGTCGAAAAAGTGCACGCCGTTGTGGCGCGAAGCACATTTCCAAGTCAAAAGTGTAAAAAACTGACGGTCTCGGACCACTTTTGGAGGTTCCGATGTGGAAAAAGTGTCGGAAAAGTGCACGCCGTTGTGGCGCGAAGCACATTTCGAAGTCAAAAGTGTAAAAAACTGAGGGTTTTGAGCCTTTTTTGACGTGAAGATGTCGAAAAAGTAGACACTGATTAACTTAACTAACTTGACTAACTTAACTAACTTCACTAACTTAACTACCCTAACCTCGACAACAACAACAACAACACCAACCACAACAACTACAACTACAACTACAACAACTACAACTACAACAACTAGAACTACAACTAGAACTACAACTACAACTAGAACTACAACTACAACAACTACAACAACAACAACAACAACAGCAACAACAACAACAGCAACAACAACAACAACAGCAACAACAACAACAACAACAACAACAACTACAACTACTACTACTACTACTACTACTACTACTACTACTACAACTACACTACACAACAACTACAACCACACAACAACTACAGCTACAACAACAACAACAACTACAACTACAACTACAACTACAAAACAACTACAGCTACAACTATATGGCTGCAACTACACTACACTAATTACATTACACCACAACTACAACTCCACTACGCTACAACTACAACTACAGTTGCAGTACATCACACTACATCCAGCAGTTGTGGGTGAGGTGACCACTGCAACCATTGCAACCACTCCAGCAAACACAACTCCAACCACTTTTCGGTCAATCAGTGGATTCGCTCTGCCATCCGTGATTCACAACAACCAACGTCTCCTATAGGTTTCCTATTCTGAAACTTCCGCCACCGCCTTGTGCGGTAGTACTGGTATGTTTTAAGCGAATTCTCCACCTTCCATCCCCTTTCGGAACACAACCCACTGAGTATCCCTGGCAAGTTGTTTTTCGTTGGCTCCACCTGCGGCTTGGGCGTCTTGGACGAGTCTCAACGTGTCAACCGTCGTTTCCAGCATCCAGCATCTCAAACCAGGGAGTCTCTATATTAGATGGTGTATAATTGTCAAACAATACTGTAGCTTATAAATTATCACTATTGCACATATATCGTATATGATCACTAATATGAAATTACATCGATTCTTAAATGTCGCTAATCTGTTGAGCTTTCCGCCGTTTTCTCACTGACTTGACCCCAATTTGTCTCGATCGTCGGACAAGGCACATATTGCTCCGATGCCAAACGCACGAGGCCCTTCCTGACCCAGTCTGGGATAGACTGGGATAGACTTTCAACAAGTCATGAGATCCGCGAAATTGCATGAGATTTTCCTGGGAGAATTATGATGGGCCAATCTGTTATGGTTAATATATGGTTATTATATGGTTAATGATCTTGAATCATATGGTTTATCAATGATAATCTGGTTGGTGGTTTTTCGCCACCCCTCTGAAAAATGACTGAACATCAAATTGGGATGATGACATTCCCAGTATATTAGGGAAAATAAAATTCATGTTCCAGTCACCACCAACCAGGATTTTTTTTATTTCATGGGATTGGTTGATTACCCCCTCATTTTCGGATGAGTCGCCATCAACCATCTGGATTCAATGGGATTTTTCATGGATTTCATTAGGGATACTGTTTATATACAACCAACCATTGTCAGCAGCTCCCATTCGCGGATGGTCTATACAACCCATTGTCATATCTCTGATGGTTTGAGGCAACCAAAATCACTCAAACTAGTAGCCAGAAACAGACCGAAAGGCAGCTGTTCACAGCAAACAAGAACGGGACATCAAGCACCACTGCCCTCCACATATGTTTGGCATGTTTCCCGCTACTCTTCCTCTATCTTTCCCTAAATCCATCCCGCCTGTGCAGGAAAATCCGCAAGGGATCGCAGCCACTGACGAGGACATAGAGACGAAGATCAAACTTGTAGCCATCCAACAGCAGGGGTTTGCTAATGTACCTCTGACGCTACCCGCGATCTGAAACGATGACCGTACCATGGTCAAGTTACATGGTATGGTCATCCATGGACAATGGATATCCTTATAGCATTTTATCATGGCTATATAAATCTCTACTAGATATCTCCTGTTACTGCAGTTTATGGATTGATGACCATCCCCCAATATCGGCAATTGGTCCAACTTTGGCCCATGACACATATATTGGAATTGGGTGCTAGGCTATGTCCAAAGTCCAAACGTCTATACTTCTGTTTTTCAAAACATCAGGGTCCAAGCTGTCAATGTCTATGGCTACTATTGGTCCAGGGTGTCCTATCTGGGATTGCACTGCCAAATGCTGCTGGTATTCATCGCCTCATTGCATTAATCCCGTTGTACATTGTCATGTCTGGTGACATCGAAAAAAGGCGGTTCAACTCCGTTCAACTCTCCTGTTTTTCCTGTTGGACTGCCCGTGTTCCGAGGCCCTAGTCATTCCCTGGTTATCCTCAATCAAGATTTAAGAAAGGTTTCTTTAGCTGGTAGGTCAATAGCCACCAAACTGATCTGAAAAACCAAGCGTCGTAATTTTCAATTCTATCATATTCTATCCACTATAATATCATCTAACATCATCTAATATATCCATATATATATATATCCATAGATTTCCATATATTTCCATGATTTTAGATGGGTTAACTCACTGAATTCCCTATGAAAATCATGAAATCACCAACTCATCAAGGCACCGCTGGGCGACAAAGGTGGAGGAAAAGTCCACGGGAACCTTCTCGACGTCACGGATCAAGAAGATTCCTTTTCCCTGGCGGATTTTTTGGATCCAAAGATCATGTATTAAACCCATCAAAATGTCCCATTATAGTCCCATTATAGTCCCATTATAAACCCATTATAGTCCCATTGTAAACCCATTATAGTCCCATTATAAACCCATTATAGTCCCATTATAAACCCATTATAGTCCCATGATAAACCCATCAAAATGTCCCATTATAAACCCATCACCATTATAGTCCCATTATAGTCCCATTATAGTCCCATTATAAACCCATCAAAATGTCCCATAATAAACCCATTATAGAAATGTCCCATTATAAACCCAAACATCCCATAATTTGGCTGTCCCATTATAGGGTCACTATGAAAATGCGTTGCTATGTTGACCATCTCCCAATCGCCCAGGGTAGAATGCATAGCATGTTGGTTTCCATAGTCATGTTGGTACTCCAGCTGGATGATTTCATGGAAAATCCCACAAAATCGATGACTTCGGGGTACCCCCAGGACTTCAGGAAACCTCAGTATGGCAAAATTTGGTGAATCATGGTGAATCGAAGTGATCTTCAAACTCTTGGTGAATGGAAAGCATGGGCGGAAATGGAACCTAAATGAGGTGTTAGGTCAAAAACTGCAGTGAAAATAGCTGCAGTATGTCAACGTTCATGAGGGACAACACCGTCTCAAATGCGGCAACCGCCTAAGTTTGAACACGTTCCCGGTCCCACTGCAGATCCTTGAGTCCCTTTCCGCCTGACAGCCATTGTCAGGTTTGATGATGAAGGTCTGCTTTTTCACATTTGTAAACCTCAAATTTTCGGAGCAGTCATGGTCTGTGGCTCCCGGCGTGCGGTGGCAGAGTTTCAGTCACCCTCCTTGAAGTGGTTACAAGTTCCATGATGAAAAACACAACATTAATAAACACATTAATATACATTACTTATACATTAGTTGATAATGATATTCATAATATTAATATATCACTATCTATTGTTAATTGATACATTAATTTATCATTACTATACATTAGTATTAATATCAATCAACAATATTAGTTGATAATTCTCAAGATCATTTGGATCACCACGCTGGAGGCCTTGCCGAGGAAATGTCTTGCAGCTATCTTCAGTGGGAGTGTTGACTCCAGTAAGAAATATTCAGCAACTGGAAATCTCCACTGTTGATAGATGGTGACTGGAATCATCATGAATCATCTATGTATATATATAGGGGTTAAGTAATGAGTTGTTCAGGGTTAAGCTATACCCTGATATATATATATAATTATATCATATTATATCTACACACAGGCATTTTTTGTGCATGTCCATTGCCATGCTACCTGGTAATAAAAGATAGCTATGAAACCTATGTAACCATTCTCAACATTTACATCTTCCAACAAAATGGGCCATGGCTTCCATAGGAAACTGTTGAATTGCGAGAAGGTAGCTAAAATGACCAAATGACACGATCCTTTTACATTCTTTTACTCGCTTATGTGTGGTAGGCCGCGGGCCGCATCCAGCGTGTACATTCTACACCAGAAATGATGCTTAAACTACAGGCCATAGGGAAACCCACGGCGGCTCAGCAATATCGAAAACAGCCCAACAACTGCTCTGCTGCCAAGGAGCTGTTGTTTAAAATCCGACATGTCGGTCGGCAAGATCCAAGTATCAGGGAAGAAGCGGTATTCCTGTGGAATGGGGTTGTGGGAACGCGAAAAAAGGAATCAAATTGACAGCAGGGAGACTCACTCATACTCATACCATTTCATACCCAGATTCTCTAAATGAGAGTGTCAGTTTTCAAGGCATTGTATGGTATTTTTGTTCCACTACCACTTTGCCACATGACCGAGCGCTTTCAAAGTTGGTCCAAAAAAAACTTGCAACCTTTGAGACCATCAACATCCATCAACTCAACTTCAAATGGATTACTGGTTGGTGGTTTCAACCCCTCTGAAAAATATTAATCAGTTGGGATGATTATTCCCAATATATGGTAAAATAACAAATGTTCCAAACCACCAACCAGATTACATTGCCTGATCAGCCCTTTGGCCTCCGAGGTCTGTTCATAGAAAACCAAGTATTTGGTACACTACATTAAAGTCATGAAACTGGAACAAGACGCCCCACAAGACCCTGAAAGGCACCACAACATCAGAAACATCCAGAAACCCTGAAAGGCACCCATCAAAAGCGCATGATATGTAGATCTCTGTTAAGCCGCCACTGGTAATCAAACATGGCAATGGAAGATGAACAGATGAGTCTAGATGAATCTAGATGAATCTAGATGAATGATTTCCGATGATTTTCCCAGCTCTAAACCTCTATTTAGTTCGGGGATTTTCCAGCGGCCCGCCATGTTTGGATAGCGGCCTTGGGAAACTGCTTCCTCATTCGTAGCAAGTTTCGCCCTGTGGCATGCACGGGCCGCGCGCTGATAATTGGGAAGTCCAAAACTCACGATTTTCACGGTCCGAAACTGAAAGATAAAAAAGGTAGATCATATTTTATCTAACCGCATTTATGCAAATGACATATGTTCATCATGGAAGATGTTGTTTTTTTGTAATTCATCTTTGCAGATGTTCTCTGTAATGATTCGGAATGCAGATTCTCAGGCGGCACAGCAGAGCATACCTGGGACAACATGTGATCGACTGTGCCTCTGAAACAGCTAAACAAATGATCTGGAGTTTAACATCATTGATTCAATATGATTAATTACATTACCTTATATCATACCTTATCATTACAGATATTCCACAAAGTAGACCAACTAGATCAAAATACTTCATATTTCTATATTTCTATATATATGTCTCATATTTCATCATGAAATATCATCATGAAATGGGGAACATCCGGCAACTTTCCACTCAGCTCATGACGAAAAACCGGCCGCGCCTAAGTTGTTTTTTCGGGTGATGGAACTCATCCCCACCTCGGCCAGGCCATGGCAAGGGGACACCAACATGTGTTTTTTTTCACCAAACAAAATGGGGATCTAACCGTTGAAACCTAGCATAGATGAGATATATACTCATATGATCTTAAGTATGATCTTAAATGTATTTCTGTGAATGGAACGGAAATGGCATACATATATACATGTATATATATAATTATATATGTGTACACACCCACAACATGTCCCTTTACAGGGAAAATTATGATGAACGATTAACATGTATGCGTCTCATGTTTTCAGACAAAAAAACTAGTATCAGACAGAAAGATGACAATCGAAAGTTGTTACCTTGCCTTATTGCGTGTCGCAGTACTTTTTTCTGTTCAAAAGCTGCAAAGTAATGAACACAAATTGTAGATTCATAAACCCATCCCAACAAAGGGATTGTCTGTTTTTTGTGTTTTGATCAAACAATGGCATATTGATGCAAACAAATATGAAGAGATGTAATAAGTTGCTGCACTACCATGACTGATTTAATATAATATGCAATTTAATGGGGGGGTTCCTAAAATAGGGCTACCCCTAAATCATCCATTTCAATAAGGTTTTTCCGTTATAAATCAACCAGCTATTGGGGTAGCCTCCATTTATGGAAAACCCCTTGGGCCATCTACAGATCATCCCGCCCGCCGCTCCCATTGCCGGTCCCGGGCGAAGTGATTCATCTTTTGAAACGTCTTCAACTTCATGAAGCGATCCGCAGGTATGGCCTGGATGGCAATCAATGAATTGAACAAACGACATGTAGCTACACTCTGGGTATATGATTATATCATGATATATCTAGCCCACATTTTTTCACCATCCACATATCGATGTTGATATGATTTTCCATCGTTTCATGGCTTGTTCTAATCAATCATGCATGGTTTGCACATGTTATTCTCACCACATCAACCATGGTGTCTTCCCTGTAGGAAATCCCGTTGCCGTCGAATGTTTGTGGTGATTGACCCCGGTGCAGATAGGATGAGACACGAAATACCATCCTCCAAATCAAAGACGGCCATGGAAAGTTCCCAGTTATAGATGATTAACATAGTTTATCTATGCTTGTATATGAAATTATTAGGGGACATATCCATTGGGATGTTTGATTACCGAAAGGTAACAAAAAAAAGTCTCCACCCATACAACCCGAAAAAATATCAACCGTAGCACATCATTGGGGGTTTCCATAGTCATGGGGGTACCCCAATAGCTGGATGGTTTATTTCATGGAAGAGCCGATTCAAAAAGATGATTTCGGGGTGCCCGGGGTGCCCCCCATTTTCGGAAAAAAACCCATCGGAGATAGAAAATCCATGAAAATCCTCAAGATGTTCACTGTCCTATCATTTTATATGTCCTTTTTTTCAGGAAAATATGGACACACCATGGATCCATGGACCATCCACAGGGAGGTGACCATGGACACAACATTTTTCACCATCACCTCGCATCACCTCTCCCCAGATCCGAAAGAAAGGGCTGAGGACCCCACCGTGTCACACCAAAGGAGATCGAAATCTGCGGTGGACGTGGCTTCCTTCCAATCTTCGTATTCTTGGCACACCTGCAATGTGAGGCCCCCAAGATAGATAAGTTGGTTTATAACTCCAATAACTATGGTTTATGGTACTTATAACTATATAGTTACTGGGGCTTATAAACCAACTTATAACTGGGGGGCCCCACATTGTGTCATCTCCGCGGGGGAAGAAAAAGAAGGCAAAGCTTTCGACATGCGAAAAAACACATGTACCGAAAGGTGATTTCCCAGTCAATTGGCTGACGGTGGAAGATACTGAATGATACGTTAATATGTTAGATGATACAAGTATATGAGATTGTATATTTGATGCTATACTAGATGATCCATTAGACGATATATGAGATGATCTACTAGACGATATATTAGATGATCTATTAGACAACATATGAGATGGTACATGAAACGATACATATTAGACGATATTTGAGATAATATATTAGACAATGTATCAAATGATACTTGTATGTTAGTCACGAGATGGTATGGATACGTATGGATGATGTTGATATGGGATTACATGAATACTGTACAAGCGACACTTGGACATATAATCCAGTTTGACCCAGTTATAACTGCATTGGTCCTTTGGTACTGAACCAACGGTATGAGGTATTATTGTTGAAGCTGAGCTATATGAATGTGGACACATGGTGTTGACATATCACATGTCTTGGTGTTGACAAACGTGGCCTTGATATGTGACCACGATGGTGATGACTTCAAGGCTTATCAAATGGGGACAATTCCAAGCTTGTTGGTGGTTGAGCGATCAACCCCCAGAAACATCTTCGCCAACTCGGGTTGATCATTGCAGCACCGTTGGACACCAATACATCTATATCTATGATCCTTGAATATTGTACAAGTATGTACAAGTATATATATAATATAGATATATTATATATATATACATTGAAATTGTGTATAGTATAAACATATATAACTTATATAACTATAATTAAATATATATATATTTATGTAGGAGCAACGAAAGTTAATTGGGGTTAGTGCAAAAGGTGGGACGAAACGTATTTTCACCCGAAGACTAGTTTTTCCTACTGACACGTGCCCAACAAAAAAGCTGTTGCTCATGTATACATGACTATCTTTGTATGTGTATCATACAACGCACACATATATATGTGAGCAAATTATAGTAATTCACTTCGAAATCACTAACCTTAATTAATTAAGGCCATTTGCGGGATGATTTTCCGAATCCTAACCATGATTCCAGGCTTCGGGAGAACAGTGTGATCAAACATGGGGGGCCGGACAGAGAAATCCCCGGAAAACTCTCCCATCCCCACCTGTGTAAGGACATCGTATTTGCTCTCGAGCAGGAAGAGAATCCTTGGCATGGCCAATGGGAAATGCGGCTAATGTGAATATCAAAAATGACAATGGGAAACATGATGGGAAACATGATGGGAAAATTGAAAGCTACAGTATAAATGATATGTTTTTCTCTGAACTATATGGGTGTGAAATGGTATGAATGTCTGATATGTTTTAGTAGGGTGAATGATGGGAAAGACATGGCTTTAAGGTACCGTATGTTTAGACATACCCACATGGCAACATATTGGGAACATATTGCGACCAATGGTTCGTCCTTGATGGCCCTTGATAGACCTGGTAAGTATGCTGCTCTGACACGAAGCATCGTAGCTTCACATTCATGTGCAGCGGAAGGAGGCTGTACTGGGTTGGAGTAGGGAACACCATATACTTCGGACAATTATGGAACATGGAAACCATGGCAATGAGAAATGGGTCTAAGATTGTTTTGGTTTTAGCAGAAAGAACACTAGTCACCCTGACCCGACGCATTTTTCCCCGCGCAGGGTCGAAACGCATGAAGCATTGTCATGCCACCATTGAGTGCCCTTTGAGCACCTCGCTATCTATCCAAGAACCCCAAAGTTCCAAACTCAAGCTACTCAAGCCATGATCTCAGCAAGTATCCTATTATCTACATAACTCCATCATGTCCAATATTAGCTAACCGCAGGGTTTAGTATTGGATATATTCATGACTTCGGGGCCCAGTCAAGGAGGGTATTGAATATACTTTAACATGATAGGGAGATGGGATTAATCTGGTTGATGGTTTCCACCAATATCCCCATTATATCCCCGTCTTTGGATTCATTTGTTTATCCATCGTTCACCATTTTTCATGCTTGATTTTTAATGTGTTGTTTGAGTTTTTCACCATGTTCGATGCTCAAATCCAAACCCCAGAAACTCAACCGCTACGCTACGGCGGTGCCTCTTCGGGCACCGTCTCGCCCTCCGCGGCCTCCCCTTCGGCGCGCTCGGCACCTTCGGCACCTTCGGCCGGCTCAGCTTCGCCGGGGATGTTGCCGTCTGGATAGACGCAGGGGAGGTAACCGGTCTCGGCTTTCCTTGGAGATGTCAGTTGCAAGATGGGCATGGCGTAGGGGCAATGCTAAAGGATTTCAGTTTAGACATGATATAAGATGATATGGGTATGGGTCAAAATTAGGTACCCCAATAATTGGATTGTTAATATTAAACTAGACTAACATCTGTGGTCCCCTAGGTCTTCCATTTTGACCCACATCCATATAAGAATAAAATGATAAAGGCCCTCTATTTTGATTGCCCAGTCTTGATAGGTAACATTGCAAAAACTAATATCTCCTGACGGGCATTGTCCCTAATTGGCACTTCTGGGACTAAGTGCGAAAAGTCCAGTCCAACAGGTTGATATGGCATATCGAGAGGAGATGTATTCGGATCATAGAACACAAACAAGTCCATATGATTCCATCATGAATATTCCAATACCCATAGGATCCATGTATGGTATATATACTAACATTTGGGGTATATTGATGGTAAATGTTGCCATATATAGCATACATGGATCCTATGGGATATATTCCATATGTTTGCTGTTTTTGGACTCATAGACCCCAACAACCCAAAAGGATCCCCTTTTTTGAAGAACTGAGTTGCAGCAGCGTCTTCTTTAACGCTTTGGGTTCGATGCAGGTCCCGAGAAATTTCACCTCGGCGGGGATTCCCGGGAGGAACAGGAAGCCCTTTTTTCGTCTCCGCTGCAAGAACCAAGCTGATTTTGCAAGTGTAGGCAGTGTAGGAGTGTAATGGAGTGTAGCATTCCAAGTTATCCAAGTTACTCAATCTCTCTTGATAAGTTCGAGGACATGTCCATCACTTTGAGAAAAATGTTGCGACTTTTGCGATGCCACTAAAGACCTCTGAAGATACTTGAAGCATTTCGTACTCGTTTTCAGTGGGAGAGAAGCCCCAAAGTGATACATCATGATACAACATGATACAATCACTAGATTACTAGGGAGGAGTTGGTGCAGGTCAAGTCACGGTATCACCTTCCTTCCAATGGAAGTTCTCTGATCGCTTCTCATCGCACTGGAAGTCGTTCCCATCCTGGCCAGGTTGAAAGCTGCCATCAAAGTCACCTGGTAAAGGATGGTATAGCTATGTGGGTCAATGCTGGGCATATCAAATATTGCAGGAGTTCAAAGCAAAATTGTCGTCTGTGGGTCTCAACGTTGATTGTTTCAGTTTTGACCCATCACTTATGACCCGATTTTGATTGGTTCACACTTCCAGCTTCCTCACTAGTTCAATACAATCCCGTTCTTGCCGGCTGGAATTCCCTCCATCCCAAAGCCATCCTTGCAACGTCCCCCGGACTGGGCTTAAATTACACTAAGCAGCTGGAACGAGAACCTAAGTAGCTCTGCCGAGGATCTTCAGAAAGCTCTTTCTGCTCACATAATTCCCATTTGTTGCCTTCCTCCTCACAGTAGCGCGACGCCCGCATGTCACACCCAAACGTCCACTTTCAACTGTCGTTTCTTAGTCAAGGATCGAAACATCGGTCTTTTCGCATACAGATTTCCCCGTGTCGCCTGTCAAAACAACTTCAAGAAACACCCTTACTTACATCAAGTTCAGGACTGAAAAGCAAACCGCATCTTTTAGCCGATTGAATGAAACAACCAGCAATTCTGCGCCACTGGTGTCAATGATATGTTCATTGCCATGTGGCAGCTCATTTCCAAATTCTTCACTATCAGTTCATCTGGTTGGCGCTTTGGCCTTAAACAGGTCATGTTAGTCATGGGGGATCATCCTGACAAATATGGTTACTGTAACAGCTTGTTTTTCACATAAAAAAAACAAACACCAACCGGAACAGATCAACCAAGGTCATGTACCATCATGTACCCGTTCTATCCCCATGATACCCCAGTTTTAGATGGTTAAATTCCAATTATATAAACACCCCCCAACAAGTTGCTGCTTCAAACCACATGATGCCAACAAAAATAGGCCTTGCTCACCTGAAACCCCGATAGGAAAGTGGTCTTTGCAGTCAAACGCGGCTGGAACATCCTCCAATTCGGTTCAGGGATTTCCAAGCCACGATTGCTGGAGGAAATCCATAGTCCAGTTCTCTTGTTGAAACACCACATCCTTTGTCGAGTTTTGTGACACAGCACATGTTTGCCTCTTTGCCACTTGAACCAACCTTTTTTGGTAATGCTAAAAACCCTCAAAACATCCAACATTCCCATGTTTTCATCGAAAAAAGATGTCCCCATTCGCCTTGAGACAGGCCAGAAAGCCGGAGTCCGGCCGTCCAGGGTTGTCAATCTGCACGTTGGCGCCGGCCTTGAAGAACTTCGGTGGCTCCTGGAGGATTTGATAAAAATGGTTTACGGCGATTCTTTGAGAGTCGTATAGGATCTATGTGATGTAAAGCTTAACCATAACTATAGTTATATATTGGTCAACATTGATATCTGTATATGAATATGTAATATATATATATTTATGTATATAATTATATATATGTATAGATATATATGCTGAATGCCCTACAGTAAGACCAAGATATTAACTTCACCTTGTATCGATGGGTGACCATGGTATACCATGGTTAAATCTGTTAAATCCGCAACAAGTAAACCAAGCTGAAGCGCCCGCAGATTCCGGGAACAATCAACGAAACACTTGGGACAAATGGTTTTGAGATACTCTCTGGTAAACAAACATAGCTATTGAAAATGGATGTACCCGTTAAAAAATGGTGATTTTCCATAGTTATGTTAGTTTACCAGAGGGTATCTCAATATACACCTTGATACTTCAAGCTATCCAAGCTATCCAACAATAGGGAATACTAGGGATAGAATACGGCTCTGTCTGAAAATGGGGGTCCAAAATGGTAATGTTCATCGGGGACATTATAAACATCAACTCCGAAGTATCCTATCTTCAGAGAAACTTCGCCAAGCATCTGCAAACGTCGTCTGGAAAGGATTCTCTCCATCAATGTCTGCAACCGTTATCCTGGACGCTGCAACGTGGTTGCATGATGTTACATGACGTCGGAGGAATCCGATATGTCAGTAGCTCTGTGGGGCACCGAATAGATTATGTCAGTTCCAAAACAAGTGGCTTCCACAGTGTGGATTCGCTGTTGAAATTTGAATTGCCTGGAACTTGCCGAACACTTACCTGCACTTGCCACCACACAGGCCGCAAAACAAGAGAAGACCTGGATTCTGGCGACTAAATCTATGTGTAACCTATGATTGTGAAGTTCCGTTATAGACACATAGACAATGCACCGAAATGATAATGTCGTATGTTAGAACATATATGATGCAAAATAGATTCGATATGCATCGATATGCGTCCAATATATGTGTTATATGACTTAAATCTACTGTGCAATGCACATCATACATGATCGATAGTGACATACACTTGATGTGTGAAACCTATGAATACAACATTACCCTCTGGTAACATAACATAACTATGGAAAATCACCATTTTTAATGGGAAAATCCACTATAAATGGTCATTTTCAATAGCTATGTTAAATTACCAGAGGGTATATGCATCTGATCTGGCATGTTGCGCAGCCTCCAACCCTCCATTTTTTCAAAACCACACCTTGTTGGCCAATAGCGTTGCTGAGTCAAAGTCCCAAGGTACATCAACTCCACTTTTACACTGCTCACTTGCTCCAGGTATTTTGTATGTACTGTATATAATTATTATATGTTATTATAATATATTATTTTATATTCATGACAAATAGATAGGTGGATAGGTGGATGGATAGATCATGATAGACTGCTTACCATCCGGCACGTGATAGTAATTCCATGTCTGAGGTAAATCTTGGCGAAAACAGAGTTCATGGCACATTTCCTTCGGGCTGTATATAGAAAGAAAAAAAGGAACAACTTTGGCCACGATCATTTCACTGGGGTTTGTCACTGCGTCCATCTATAGGATCATTTAGGCATTCTCCGAGCGTCATTTTGGGTTCAAATTGACCTCGAAGTTTGTCCAAATCTTCTTCCAGCCGTTCTTGACGCTTGGTGAGCAATCGATCCGTGTTCTTACCTTGGCTTCAGCTTGATACCCTGGTGATGTTTGGCTGCTGGCGAAAGGGCGCTCTTTAAAGCCCCCGATTACCAGTTACCAGTCGGCAACACGTGACATTTCCCATCTTCAATCGGAGATCAAAAATTGCATCTTCATCTTGTCTCAGATAGTCTTAAGGCAAATTTTCCATCAAATTGGTCCTTCAAACTGAGACAAAATGTAAAAATGATTGAAAATTATCCAGATTGGATACCCGACTGTGTGTTTGCCCAGCTTGGTACTCCCCAAGCCCCCCCCCCCGGGGCCGGCACCCAGCCCATCGAAAACCCAGGCACACTCATCGGACATATCCGCACCACCCGGGCGCAACTTTGGCTTCTGCAGTGCCTTGAACCGACAATTGGGGAAGGTAACTGCATTTTCCGGATATTTGATAGGCATTTTTTTGGGTGATTTCCCTGACCACCAGTTGCGGTGTCATTTTTGGGGTTGGAAATGGTTGGAAGGCAAACAGTATCTGGAGAACGGTAGTCAATCTCAAGTCGGATTTGAGACGTTTTTTTTGAGTGGTTTCCCATGGTTTCCCTGTTACATGTTTATTGTAAAGCCATGAAACAGCAAAGAACGATATCCGTAACCTGGGTCCTAGGTGATTGTGTATGGGAGGACGTTAGGAACCTTGTTAGCATCTTCACCTTGAAAGGGAAGCAAGGTAACTTCAACACTAGGACACCATATATTAAACACATCAATCACATCCATAGAGGGCCACCAGGCCCATCAGGCCCACGGAGGGCTACCACGCCCGAGGGCCACTGGGCCAGCCATAGAAAGGTTTAGATGTATATTCGTTCACTCAAAAAAACACAAGAAACATGTAAATGCATATATGTAGTTGTGTATGTATTTATATGTTTGTAGGTAGGCAGGCAAGCAGGCAGGCAGGCAGGTAGGTAGGTAGGGCCTGATAGGCCTAGTCCTGGTGGCCTTGGGGCCTGGTAGGCCCAGTGGCCCTCGGGCGTGGTGGCCCTCCATGGGCCTGATGGGCCTGGTGGCCCTCTATGGATGTGATTGAGGTGTTTAACATATGGTGTCCTAGTGCTGAAGTTACCTTGCTTACCCTTTCTTGATAGTTGAGATGTTTCTGCAAGATACTGCCTGAACCTGAGGTATCCAACATATACATACATATGCTGGATTCCAAGCAGCAATACCTGCATCTAAGACTTCATCTTCCATGATAAGCTCTGAAACGAAGATATCACGACCACTATGAGCTGAGCTGCATGTCCTTCCGTGTTCAGCTCAGTCAAATCGTCAAAATAGCCTTTCTGCATGGGGAAGTACGACGACCTCAGCATGGAATGGCATTTTTCGGAAAGGGGCTACCGTTCAGCAAATGGGTTCTGGGGCCAGATGTTCCGTACATCCAGGGGTTTATGAAGTCGAGAGAATGGGATGCTGCACCAACATGCTTGGGGTCAAACACCAACTTTAGCTTGTTTTGGTGGGCATCAGTACTTCGAAGGTCTAGCTTGCTGTACATCTGTAGTGCTTGAGGAAACCCAAGCAAGTGCATGAGCCAAGGAGATGGGTCAGCCCATTCAGAACCGATCCTTTGTCTTTGTTGTTTGGTTGATGCCCTGCCAAAAGTTTTACTTTTAGTGAAATGTGTGCAAAACCTGCCTCTAGACCAGAAACCAAAAATAAAATTCAAAATCTGAGCAACTACATATGGGTGTGTACAATCTCTACTTCTCATTCAATCACCCAGTGACCACAAGGCCCTTCGCGCCAGTCGCATGTGGGCTCCGTGGAAGGCGGCATCAGCCACAGCGTCGGCCGCCCAGAGTTTGGGCATCACGGCTGTGAAATGGCAAAAAAATGCCAAAAAACTGGACATATCCTCTACATCCTGCAAAAGTTCCTGATCTAAACATGGGGGTTACAAGGAAAAAATCGAGGAAACCCATGGGTTTTTACCACTCAACATGCAGGGAGTTCCTCTTTGGCATTCACCATGCAATGATCATAGTCTAGGCAACATGTGGAACTGTTCGCGATTCGTGATTCGCCAAAGCCTGCAAAATGTGTGATGCGGGCTGTCCTCAAGAAATATGATTTTATCGGTTGCTGATATACAGGTGTTCAACCCCTCCCGAAAGAGAAACTGGTCCTAGGGAAGGATTTCCTGCCCAGATTTCGATCTGAGGAGGGTCTAAGTCGTCCTTTTTATCTACGCATAGATATGTTTCAAAACAAAAATGTGATATGCCCGTGCCATGTTCACAAGCAAATCGTAGTGAGTCAACGTCAATTGGCAAACTCTTTGAACACAGCTGCTTTGGCAATGTTTTTATTTTGCAATGGCTTCACTGTCACTGGAACCACAGGTTGCCTGCAGGGTGCAAA